CAAAGAATGGACGTTTGCAATGGACATGGCCCTACGGTCGTTGGCACTCCCAAATGCGGCACAGAGGGTCGACTACGCGGCAGGATTTTTGACTGGAAACGCTCGTCTTTGGTTGATAGCGGCATTGGAAGCTAACCAAGTGTTTTCCGACTGGCCTGCTCTGAAAGCGGCACTTGGCGATGTGTACGGACCACGGCACAACGAGGAAACATCGCGTATGGGACTAATTTCCGCAGCGCAGCGCGGGTCGCTGGACGCATACATTGCTGCTTTCACTCACCTCAGCCTGCAAGTGCCGGAAATCGACCACCACACCAGAGCGCTGCTGTTCATCAGGGGTCTAGTGCCGCACATCCAGCGACAGGTCATGCGTGAGCATCCACATACCCTGGAGCAAGCTGTCATGGCAGCAAACACCGTGGAGCAGTCGTCAGGGCCACCGGCGTCGGGGCCACCAGCCAGTAGAGAGTCGCGTTCCGTGCCCAGCTTCCGTGGTCAGGGCCTCCGCAAGCTGACGGACCAAGAGCGTGTCCAACTGCGAGCAATGGGACACTGCTTTGCTTGCAGGAAGCCAGGCCACCTCGCTAAAGACTGTACTGAGGGTGGACAGCGCTACCCAAACGCTGGTCACCAGTAAGAAAGGGGGTGCGCTTACTGGCGACGACCCAAGCGCCCACGCCGGTACCAGTCGCTAACCGGTTCGGAGCTCTGGAGGTTGAAGACGTTGCTCTCCAGGAACCTACGGAGCCGGAGACACCCATAGCTGTAGGAAATTGTCCCGTTGCAGAAAGGTGTCATGTCAGCAACGTCAGCGTCGGCAATGAACCTGAACACGACCTACTGCGCATACAGGGAAAGATCGGCGGTCGCCGTGCAGTGATGCTGATAGATTCCGGTTCGACGCATGACTTCATTGCAGACAGTTTTGTTCGAAAGCATCATCTTGACACGGATGCAAGCTCAGCAGTGCTGAGCGTAACATTGGCGGACGGCTCGACCAGCGAGGTCCCGCAGATTTCCACACGCACGCTAAGGGTGACAGTTGGGGGCTTCAGTGAGGAACAGCACTTTACTGTGTATCCCCTGACTCGCTACGACACTATTCTTGGCAAGCCGTGGCTTACAAGGAACAACCCCAGCATCAACTTCCGTACGAACGAAGTTCAGTTGGACGGTGAGCCCTTTGTTGCCAAATTGCCTTCAGCTAACCCGCCGACAGCCGACCGGCCATCTGTGGAAAGCATGTTTATCAGTGGCCGACAAGCTCGTCATGCCCTGAGGAGTGGAGCCGAGGGGTTTCTTGCATGGGTCACTGCTGCAAACGAGGAGAATCGTTCCGGGCCACAACTCCAGGAATCAGAGCAACAAGACATCCAGAACCTGCTCAAGAGGTACCAGGATTTATTTCCAGACGAGCTGCCGAATGAGCTTCCACCGAAGAGACCAGTCGACCATGAAATCCAGATAGAAGATGGAGCCAGACCACCGTCTCGACCCGCCTACCGCCTGCCGAAACCAGAGATGGACGAGCTCCAGTCACAGCTATCAGAATTACTTGAGAAGGGATTCATTGAGCCAAGTAAGTCGCCATACGGTGCACCTGTGTTTTTTGTGAAAAAGTCGGATGGTACTCTGAGAATGGTGTGCGATTGGCGAGAATTGAATAGAATTACGATCAAAAACAAAGCTTGTCTTCCTAATATTGATGACTTATTCGACACGATCCAGGGCAGTGCATATTTCTCCAAGTTGGACTTGCGGTCAGGCTACAATCAAATCAGAATTCAAGACTCGGATGTTTCTAAGACGGCCATTAATACGCCGTTCGGCCACTTCCAATTTAGAGTCATGGGATTCGGGCTGACTAATGCCCCGGCCACCTTTCAGTCACTCATGAACTCTATTCTGCAACCGCATCTCCGAAAATTCGTTGTAGTATTCTTGGATGACATTCTAGTTTTCAGCAAGACCTGGGAAGATCATCAGCATCATCTTCAAACAGTTCTAGAAACACTTAGAAATAGTGAGCTGTATTGCAAACAGTCTAAATGCGAATTCGGCGTGAGAGAAGTTCTCTTCTTGGGGCATAAAATCAACGGCACATCAATTTCCCCTGATCCCAAGAAGATAAGTGCTGTGGAAACATGGCCAACTCCGTCGTCAGTAACTGATGTGAGGAAGTTTCTTGGCTTTGCAAACTATTTCCGAAGGTTCATAGATCGACACTCGACCATCTCTCGTCCATTAGAAGAAATCACCGGAAAAAATTCACGCTTTGAATGGAGCGCTGCTAAACAGAAGGCATTCGAGTCTCTAAAATCAGCATTACTCGAGGCGCCAGTGTTGCAACTGGCCGATGTTGAGAAAAGCTTCATGGTAGAAACTGACGCAAGTGACTTTGCCGTGGCGGGTGTGCTCCTGCAGCAGGGAGAAGATATGGATTTGCATCCCGTAGCCTATTGTAGTCGGAAACTGTCAGCTGCAGAACGCAACTATACTGCGGCCGAGAGGGAAACGTTGGCTGTGGTATTTGCATTAAAGTGCTGGAGAATCTATCTATTCCGCCACTTTGACCTGATGACTGATAATATGGGTGTTGTCTATTTACGAACCAAACCGACTCTCACCAAGCGTGAGGCAAGATGGGTAGAGTTTTTAGCTGACTATGACTTTACGGTCTTTCACAAACCAGGAAAGAAAAACATTGCCGACCCGCTTTCCCGCCGTCCAGATCTGTTCAGTGATTCTGAAATAGGCGGGTCATCCTATCCTCCTAACATTCAGTTGAATGCCATAGAGCATACCCTAGAGATTAATCCAGACTTAGCGCAGTTAATTGTCAGCGGTTACAAGTGCGACAAGGATCTTGCTCCCATTATCAGGAGACTGAAAAATTCAAGCCATGACAATCTGCACGACCGTTACCTTCTAAATGAAACACCCGGTTATCTTTATCTCAGATCTTCACCACAGAACAGGTTATGCATTCCAAAGAGTAGCAAACTCCAACTCGCCCTGCTTCAAGAATACCATGACTGTGTGACTGCGGGGCATCCCGGTCGAGATCGCACCTATTTCAGACTCTCTAGATATTTCTATTGGCCCAGAATGGGACTGGATGTAAAGGCGTTTGTCAAGTCATGTGACGTCTGCCAACGAGTTAAAGGCGGCCAGCTAAAAACTGGTCTCTTGCAGAATTTACCAGTGCCCAGTCAGCCGTGGGCGGATATCTCGATGGATTTTATCATGGGTTTGCCTAGGACCGATACAGGTCATGATGCTATATATGTATTTGTAGACCGCTTGACAAAGTGTGTACATTTAGCACCTACTTCCTCTACTATTGACGCTAAAGGAAGTGCTGATCTGTATATTCAACATGTATTTCGACTTCATGGTTTGAGTTCTAGTATTGTATGTGATCGTGATCCAAGATTTACGGCAGCATTTTTTCAGGAATTGTTTGATCGCTTAGGAACGAAACTAGCATTTAGTACTGCCAATCACCCTCAGACAGATGGCCTAACTGAACGAGTAAACAGGATAGTAGAGGATGTGCTGAGGGCTTTTGTAAATCATAAACAAGATAACTGGGATATGCTCCTACCTCTCTGTGAGTTTTCTATCAACAGCGCTACTCAATCATCTACAGGAAACACACCGTTCTTCTTAAATTACGGTCTAAATCCCAGAGCGCCACCCGACTTCCTCAACCCTATTTAGGGAGGCAGAGATTCGGCTGATTGGTTGCAAGCAAGACAAGACGCGGTCAAGATCTCACAAGATGCGCTAGTGGCAGCTCAAGCTCGTCAGGCCTTCTATGCAGATCGGACAAGGGTCGAGGGAAAGCTGAAGGTGGGAGATTTGGTAATGGTCTACCGGGATTTCCTCCTGACTCCTGAAGCTCGGGACCGACCATCCCATAAATTACGCCCCAAGTGGTTTGGCCCCTTTCCTATAACCCATGTGGTCGGCCCGAATGCCTACAAGCTCAAGTTGCCTCATCCAGCCGCTGTCACCCGGTATTTAATGTGTCGGCACTCCGTGCCTACGAGAAGAACGCTATTCCTAATAGGAGACAGCCTACGCCTCCGCCTATCACGGACCTTGATGGTCATGCCCGCTATGTGGTGGAGAACATTCTCAGTCACCGCCGCCGGCAGAATCAGCTTCAGTACCTAGTCAAGTGGCAAGGCTACTCTGATGCCACTTGGGAGCCTGAACATTATTTGTTGGATGAATCTGGTAATGATATTGTTCCACTTCAGAAGTACAAAACCTTGGCTTCTGCCCGCTGAGTTTTGCAGTTGAACTTCTAGTTTCACCTTACACATTTGTTGAGCTTATTACACTTTATTTGCATGGAGTTTCAGTCGTCTTATTGTGTTACTTCAGTGCGAAGCCTTTTTTCGTCTCGCACGTGTTTGCGCTTATTGTACTCTATTCCACTTGAGCATTTGGGTTATAAGCTCCTTCCTCTCCATAGGAGGGGGATGATGTAACAGTTTTCCCCTGTTCTCTATAACTTTACACTCCCTCGCACCTCATGCGTCTTACGCCTGTCTATTAGCACCTTCATTGGCGCCATTGCCACATGTATACTATCACATTTTGCATATAACTGGTCGAGGCACGCTCAACCAGGCCTCTTACTTTTCAAGTTTGATTAAACCTGTTACAGTGTGTGTGTGTGTGTGTGTGTGTGTGTGTATGTGTGTGTGTTTTTTAAGTGAATGTGTGCAGGTGTGGTGTTACATACTCACTTCACATTGCAGATACCCTCATTGATTTGTTTCCGTCTTCTCTTTGGGCTTTGTTCATGATTGCATTTTCCTCTTTCTCTTTTTCTTATCAGTATCACAATCTTCATCATTTTGCAACTGTGGCAACGCGCCCAGTGAGAAGGCAGATTTTGCCTGTGCTTCTGGTGAAGAAAAATATAGCTAAACAAAACCAAACAGAGACACTTACTGTCCTGACATTGGTCTCCGCGGAATCCGGTCGGACAGACGCAGGTGCCGTCTTCAGTACACTGACCATTATTCAGGCAATTGCATGCTGCAGCAGTGATTGGATGCACATATTTTCCAAAAACAAACGAATAGTGGCAGAACAACATAGCATATGGGATTCTCGAGACATTGTTACATGTATCTTGATCATCATGACACTGTACCCACCAGTACATAGCTACACGAACAGCCAGATTACAACACTCCCACGTATATCCAACTGATGCCCATATGACTGTATCATTCATTGCACGTGGATAGAACAAAATTCCAGCCACTTTTAAGGTCACAGTACGTTGGGCAATCCGGCATACAAACTCGGAAGTGTATCTTTGGCTTCAAATACAATATAACGGCATGTATGTTCCCATGGGTCATACATTCTTTGACACGCTGGCACATAATATATTACAGCAGCTTTCTTCAGCGCTTACCTACTGTGCAGTTGGGTGCATCTAGTCTGGGTTTACATTCGCATACTTTGTTCTTTTTCACCCAGGGATGTGTGCACACAACTGCATCACATATCACAAGAAAGAGGGAGAACAGCCAGAGATTAGCCAGACACAAGAAGGACAGACAAGTAGACAGAGGGAAAAATAATTTATTATTATTTATTTTGAACAAACGACGAGGAGACAACAATTTGATAACTGCAATCAGTAATACAAGGCTGGATCAACATTTGTGTACACTTTATTCATGTAATGTAAAACTGTGGAGACAATGTGCAATAAAACGATGAAAATGTGAAGAAATTGTGTAGAGAAAAAAAAGGAAAGGGATTCAAACAAGTTTTCGTACAACACTCATCAGGAATCTTCGTTGTACTAAAGGACACTGAAAACAAAATTGAACTATTATAGAAAATCTAAGTTTGAGAAATAACACTAAGAACAACAGCAGTGAAATTTACAAGAGTGAATTTTAACAATGAAAGCGAGAGCAATAACGAATGTGTGTACCAACACTAAACTTGCAACTGAAACATGAACAAAGAAGAGAAAGAAAGAATGAAGGACAAAGTGATAACAAATAACAGCAGTACATTACACTTACTTGGTCCGCGTCAGCAATATTGTCGCTTATCTTTCGACAATTTGAACTTGGACTTTGGACATGAACACGTGCACTTGAAGTGATACAACTTGGTACGATGGACGGCAAGGTATAGAATGACAACTAGCTGCGAGGAATTTATTGTCCAAGGAAGGGTTCCTACTTTTTTCGGTCCTCCTCGTCGCTGCTCTCGTCGCTGGCGACAAATATTTTTGCTCGGGATCGACTCTCTAGGTTTTGCAAGCTCATCTCTCTTCCTCTCCGCTGCCTGGCTATTTTCTAAAGAGAAATCCATCGTGACGGTCGCCTTCTCTATAGGACTTCGCGTGGGCAGCACGACAGCCTGTATGGTTCAAATCATACGCCGTTCTTTGCAAGATTTTATTTTGAACGACGACGACGCGTACAGTACTTGCAAATCTCCACGATGCGCTGGATACTCCGAGCGTTGCGCTGGATACTCCGAGCGTTGAGCTGGAGGTAAGGGAGCTGCGATCTCAGCTTGATGAGCGATCCCTGAGGTGAGCGATCTCGGCTATTCAGCAAAATGGAGCTGATTCCGAGTAGCCGATTACTTTCTTGTGGCTTGCGCTGCTCTTGCCTGCACAGCGTAAAAAGATAATCTATTTTTATGCGGCGCTGTATCAATCAGAATCGCCCACCTGTCGCTCTTGAAATCCACTCGACCTCTAGCTAGACCTTTCAGGTACTAGCAAACTAACTTGCTAACCAAAATTGGGATGAAATGGGCTGCCAAGTAAGCATTGGCGACATATAAACAAAGCTGAAAGATAAGCGACAATATCGCTGACGCGGACCAAGTAGAACATTAACGGCCAAGCTTGGCCGCACCAAACATGACACTTTACTTGAACAATTTCAACTATCTTTCTGTACACACAAATTAGGCTTTTACAGACGCTGAGAGATGGCTTCCAAAACTTTTAACTGTAGTCCATAACCATGACGACCACGGCACAATACAGTGAAAGAAGAGTCGGAATACGAATTGCAACAATCAGGACTAGCCAACAGATGATTGTACACTGAAGACTTGCTACCACGAAACCTACGCACAACACTAACATTCTCACTGGCACTCTCATGATGAATACAATCGCCGGTCTCCGACTCTCTGCTCCCTTCACCGTCCGCCCCATCATCCGCTTCATCTGCGCTCTCTCTCTCTGTTATCCTGGCTGACTTGGTCCATTGAACGGGACTCGGCCGTCACCCTGCTGTCATGTCCCTCCTTACGCCCTTGTCCGTTGAGTGCCTAGCTTCTGTTGTAGTTGGCTGTTGATCATCTTGGTCTTTCAATAGTGGGCTTGGATGGTGGATTAGTTGTGGTTGCTGTAGATTGCATTGTTGGTGATGGTGTGGGAGCTGCTGATACGCAAGGTGGGTCTTTTTGGGTTGGCAATTGTAGTGGTAACGCCACTGCCGGTGTTGCTCGCGGTCGGTCACTGGCAAGCTCCACCGCAGCAAGAGCCGACGGTGGAGGATCAGGAGGAGGCAGTGGGACCGGGACCGGCACCACTCCAGCCAAAGCCGCCGGGTGCACCGACGAAGGAACCACCGACGGCAGAAGCAAAGGCGGCAACACAAGCCGGCCCGATGAGCCACCCCGACCACCCTCCTCCACCACCGCCACCAGCGACGGCGGAGCAAGCACAGTCTGTGAGCCAGAATCCGCAAGTTGTTGTTGTTTGTTGTTGATTTTTATTTTGCTTCGCAAGGCCAAACGGGCAATGGTGCCCAATTCTATGGAAGCGAATTTCAAAAGGGAGAGAGCTACGGGGAGAGAGAGAGAGAGAGAGAGAGAGAGAGAGAGAGGGGGGGGGAGGGAGGGAGGGAGATGATAAGCAATTTTGTAGCGTCAACAGAGCGAGTTTGCATTGTCAATAGAGCGATTATGAAGCGTCAACAGAGGGAACACAAAGAGTTCATAAGCGCACAAGCACGCAGAGCAATTTTGTAGCGTCAACAGAGCGATTTTGCAGTATCAATAGAGCGATTTTGAAGCGTCAACAGAGGGAACACAAAGAGTTCATAAGCGCACAAGCACGCAGAGAAGAGTAAATGACGTGGTGTGTGGACGGGAAAAGTCAGACAGAGCATTCATTGCAAGGTGTAGGGGATGGAGGCAAGCTTAAATTGCTGGGCAGCCTTGATCTCCCTTACACTCCTTGGGAGAGCGTTCCAGGCCAAGGCTGCCTGAAAGGCCAGGCGAGATCTGCCGGCTTCTGACTGTGCCGAGGGGACAGTGAGGCCCCTGGAAACCTGGTGCCAGGTGGTGCTGCCAGCTGATGGTGAGAATAGGTCCTGGAGGACACTGCTGGCTTTCCCATTGACACAGCACCACACCAGGACGAGCCGCTTCTAGGCGTAGCAATCGCGAACTCTGTACAGGGAAATCCGTTCGAGCAGAGGCTGAGCCGAGGTGTGAGGCGGAAAACCGTATACCGCTCTCGCCGCTCGGTTCTGCAGGACCTGAAGGCGATCAAGCTGCGAAATCTTGAGGGAGGAAGAGAAGGCGTTAGACCCATATAGGAGGTCAGGCATGATGACTGACCTCACATACTGGATGCGACTACTGAGGCTCAGACATCTGCGGGATCGCCACAATGCTCCAATCTTCTGCACAACATTCTTCGCCATCGCGTCAACATGGGGGTCCCACTTCACAGCGGCGTCAAGGGTCACGCCGAGGTACCTTGCTGTTGGGCTCAGGGGAAGCTCTGTCTGGTTGCAGCGGACAGCGACATGCTGACCCGCATTGCGTTGTGGTACAATTGACAGCACCTGGCTCTTCTTGTCATTTAGTAGCAGATGTCGATGCTTGAGCCAGTCAGCGACGTTGGTGACGGCCCCTGACAGGCAGGCTGATGTGGCTAGCACTGATTTTCTGTGGCAGTGCACTGCATCGGCAAATTGCAGAGATGGAGCAGGATGGGCTATGGCAGGGACATCACGGGTGTACATGCTAAACAGGATCGGTCCTAGGACCGAGCCCTGAGGTACACCAGATGAGCACTTAGCAGCAACACTGTAGGTGGGGCCAATGCGCACTTGCTGGGTTCGATCGCTTAAGTAGCTGCAGAACCAGCGAAGGGAGGCATTGTCCAGGCCGAGATCGAATAGGTCCCGGACCAGTTGGCTGTGATTGACCTTGTCAAAGGCTTTTGACATGTCGATTAGGCAGACGCCTGTGGTCAACTTGTCGTCCCGGGCCTTTAAGATGGCATCTGTTGCTACAACTAGGGCGTCCTCTGTGGAGTGCTCACGGCGGAAGGCAAACTGAGTCGGTGGTATGGCACATGATCGCTCCAGATGTGCAACAAGTTGCTTCTGCACTATCTTCTCGAGTAGTTTGGATACGATCGGCAGGAGCGACACAGGACGATAATTTGCAGCTACCGATGGATCGCCATCTTTGAAGAGAGGGCTTATTACAGCATGTTTGAAAGCCAGAGGGACTTCACCATGCCTCCGCGATGAGCTGAAGAGCACTGAAAGCGATGGAGCCAACAGGTCAGCGCAAGGACGTAGCAGACACCCAGGAATCCCGTCACTGCCTGTGGCTTTGCAGGGATTTATCCGTTCCAGGAGGTGCTTGACCTCATCTGGGGTGGTTGACTGGAAGGTCAGCATTGAGCCTTGCGGCTGTGGACCAATGGGAATCTGGAGGTGCGCCGGACGGGACGGATCATGTACAATGCTGTGGAAGGCATCCCAAACTTCTGTGATGTCGCACGTTGGCTGATGATGTTGACGAGAACGGCTAGTGACAGAGTTGATCACGGACCACATCTTCCGCAGGTTGGAGGAGTGATCACGACACTGCTGTTGGAAATGCTGATTGCGTTTTCGCCGGTAAGCATTTGAGGCTTCTGCACGGGCTCGCTTGTACTCCTCATGTAGATGCACGTTAGTCTTATCTCGTAGCCACTTTCGGTGAAGTCTATTCTTGCGCATGTTCAGTTGGAATAGATCACGGTCGGACCATGGCGGGGGAGTCCTCCTGGTGGAGATTCTGACTTCACGCAGGGGAGCGTGACTTTCGAGAACCGACATAAACTTGGCATGCCAGCCATTCCACATCTCGTCTACAGTTGCAGCAGGGGGAAAGGAGTGGAGGCTGCACGAGGCAATATCTTCACGAAATGTTGCAAGGTTAATGGCACGGATCGTGCGGGTGAGGCGCACAGATTTCCGCTGCAGTGGGTGTTGCGAGGAGGGTAGAGACAGACTTGCATGCACAAGGAAGTGATCGCTTATCGTGCAGGGTACAACTTCACACTGACTTATAGTACCCACGGTGGAGAGCACTAGATCAAGCAGCGTTCCATCCGGACATCGGGGTGTGACTCGTGTGGCAGACTGAACATAGTTGCGGAGCCCTTTGAGGTGTAGGTAACGGTTGTTTTCTAGGTTGCCCTCGCTTCGGTCTTTGTTGTTCTTGTAAATTTCGCTGCTGTTGTTCTAAGTGTTATTTCTCTAACTTAGATTTTCTATAATAGTTCAATTTAGTTTTCAGTGTCCTTTAGTACAACAAAGATTCCTGATGAGTGTTGTACGAAAACTTGTTTGAATCCCTTTCCTTTTTTTTCTCTACACTATTTCTTCACAGTCATGTTCATCGTTTTATTGCACATTGTCTCCACAGTTTTACATTGCATGAATAAAGTGTACACAAATGTCGATCCAGCTTGTATTACTGATTGCGGTTATCAAATTATTTATTTTACTAGTATAAGAGGAAAACATGTACAGTTTGCGTGCGACTCGGCTAGAGGCCGAGTTTTCCACATCTATTGAAATACCCCACCCCTCAGGGGTCAAGGCTCCCATCCAGCTCCAAGAGGCAAGAGACTGGACAATTGACCAGGCAATTGTAACTCATTGCGGACGAATGAGCGTTTCGACCGCACAAAAATAGCAGGTTTGGTGATGCACATGTTCTTATTCCTAGCAAGAGCTTGATGAAACGGAATACTTGTTCTGTCGACTTTCACTCAAAATAGAAACTAGAACAAGGCCTGCATAATCAGGGCCAACCGGAACAACTCCAAAGCCTACACACAGTCAGGGGAGGCCATGTTCACACGAAAGGTATACTTTGAGAATTGCATACAATGTAAAGGAAACACTTGAAGTAGACAAATTCAAACAAGCATTTCGGAGACAGAAACTTTAATATGGCAACCAAGAGTACTAACCATGCATTATTACAAAAGTGACAAACATGCGAGAGAAATGTGAATGTGAAATGTACATGTAAAAAGAAGAAGAAGTGTGCAGATCGGTAAGGAAATTCACTTCTACCAAGAGTCCATAACCCCAAGGGTGTGCAACGGGTTGTCTGGCTGCTGTAGGCCCACTGCGCGGCGAAATTCCAACATAACGTCATGCCACTGAGGCACAGAGGACAAAACTCTGCATTCCGCGGTGCTTGGATTTTTGTTTGGCACCAGGGAGTAGTACAAGCGCAACGAACGTGTACAAAATTTTTGACGTAATGTTGGAAGTCCGCCACGTGGACCCCATGTACAGAGTTGCAAACTCTTGGGGTTATGGACGCCTGCTTCTACTTACCCTTCTGGCAATTGTCTCCAGTGAATCCCTTCGGGCAGATGCATTTGCCTTTGTCGTCACACTGACCCTGGTTCAAACACTTGCACACTGCAGCAGCCACCGCATACACGCAACATGGCGTGAAACAGAGAAAATACACGGTTTGGTTACGCAATGAGCAGTGGAGATAGAGAAATTAGACTACACAAAGTTACCAGGCAACTTTCGCTTGCAAGGAAACTGGGGCGTGAACACTGTTGAAGCACTGAAGCCAGCACTCGAAATAGTACTAGGACAAGAACACATGTAACCGTTAGTAGATCTACTCGTAACAGCCATTCATAAACAAATATGATACAATTCGCCTGTAGGGATTGCCCATTTCAAAATTTAAATAATAATAATAATCCGACAGGGAGCGAAACAGCTGTCTAGAGGCGTGGAGCAATATTATCTCTCAACGGAAGTGTCCTTGCTTGTGTCTGTATGGTTCGGCTGAAGAGCGCGTGGTTGTGATGAGTTGGGAATGCAATGAATAATAATAATAATAATAATAATAATAATAATAATAATAATAATAATAATAATAATAATAATAATAATAATAATAATAATAATAATAATAATAATAATAATAATAATAATAATAATAATAATAATAATAATAATAATAATAATAATAATAATAATAATAATAATAATAATAATAATAATAATAATAATAATAATAATAATAATAATAATAATAATAATAATAATAATAATAATAATAATAATAATAATAATAATAATAATAATAATAATAATAATAATAATAATAATAATAATAATAATAATAATAATAATAATAATAATAATAATAATAATAATAATAATAATAATAATAATAATAATAATAATAATAATAATAATAATAATAATAATAATAATAATAATAATAATAGGTAAACAGTTTCCTCTGAGACAAAAATGCGATAATACTCATAAAAAGGACACACTTCAGGCTCATTACAAACATCTTGAAAGTTTTCGTCTTCACAAGTATACTTTCAAGCCTTCTCATCAGGTGAAATACAGGCAAGGGAAAAGGAACAGGAACAGTGGATTAAATACAGTAAGAAGGTGGTAAAACAGCGCAAAAAGAAAGAAAGAAGATAGCTAAAGTAAACAGCGAAAATTGCAATAATGACACAAAGGTGCAAATGCGAGAAAACTCAATAAGCGCGACATGTAGTGCGACAACAAGAGACAACCACTGGACATACATGTAACTAACGAGGTTTTGACGACCTACCTAACAGCCTAAGTGTGAATTTGATTTGTTTCTGCTTGCAAAGGTTGGGTTTCCTTGTGTGGATGTATACAGCTTCCAAAACATTCAGCAATCTAGCACTGCGTACACGTGACACAATCGAAAAACAATCATCCGAATACACAGCACGACAATCAGGATGCTCAAACAAATGACTAGCAATGGACGACTCATACTTATCAGAACTAACATCAGAACAATCAGCATGTGCGGTGGACACTGAGGAGTCAGATCGTCTACCTTTTCTTGATGTGCTCGTTGAGAAGTCAATTGATGGTGGTGTTGTCACGTCGGTCTATCGCAAGCCTACGTTCACTGGCTTGTACATTGTTTGGGATTCGTTTTGCGCGACACTGTATAAGATCAATTTGTTGCGTAATTTGGTGGATCGTGCACGTCGCCTTTGTTCGTCTTCAAGGTTGGAGCAGGAGTTGGAGAAGTTACGTGCGCTTTTTCGTCTCAATGGATACCCCGAGTCTGTTATTGTGAAGTATGTAACTGAGACCAGTCCAAAGAAGAATGCTGAGGTTTCCACTAATCCAGTATACCTATGTTTACCGTGGAAGGGCGAGTCAGTATCACGTATGGTTCAGCGTCGGGTTAAGTCTGCCGTGGAGTCTAATTACCATAATGTTCATATTCGCTTCATCTACTCCACGGTGCGTGCGTTCACGGTGAGGAAGGACGTCCTACCTACAGGCCAATTATCCAAGTTGATTTATCACTTCGAGTGTCGGCAATGTGAGAGCCGATATGTAGGTAGGACTCTTCAACATCTGGACGCACGCATCCGACAACACGCACCGCTACACCTTATTCCACAACACGCACGATCCACTCGACCACGGAGGGGACGTCCAGCAAAGAATCATCCTGGTACAAGATGGTCCAACGCAGCGGCATCAACACCAAGGAACGTCACCTCACAATTAACTAGACCACCAGAAAAACAACCGGACAAGACACCTACGTGCGTGGCAGTGACAGGAACCGCATCAACCAGAAGAATAACAAGATCGGCAACGGCGGCGATGGCAGCGACTAAAGCACAGACAGAGGCAACGGCTAGGGTCCACTCGACTAGCCATGTGAAATCGGATGTGTCCACCGCACATGCTGATTGTTCTGATGTTAGTTCTGATAAGTATGAGTCGTCCATTGCTAGTCATTTGTTTGAGCATCCTGATTGTCGTGCTGTGTATTCGGATGATTGTTTTTCGATTGTGTCACGTGTACGCAGTGCTAGATTGCTGAATGTTTTGGAAGCTGTATACATCCACACAAGGAAACCCAACCTTTGCAAGCAGAAACAAATCAAATTCACACTTAGGCTGTTAGGTAGGTCGTCAAAACCTCGTTAGTTACATGTATGTCCAGTGGTTGTCTCTTGTTGTCGCACTACATGTCGCGCTTATTGAGTTTTCTCGCATTTGCACCTTTGTGTCATTATTGCAATTTTCGCTGTTTACTTTAGCTATCTTCTTTCTTTCTTTTTGCGCTGTTTTACCACCTTCTTACTGTATTTAATCCACTGTTCCTGTTCCTTTTCCCTTGCCTGTATTTCACCTGATGAGAAGGCTTGAAAGTATACTTGTGAAGACGAAAACTTTCAAGATGTTTGTAATGAGCCTGAAGTGTGTCCTTTTTATGAGTATTAATAATAATAATAATAATAATAATAATAATAATAATAATAATAATAATAATAATAATAATAATAATAATAATAATAATAATAATAATAATAATAATAATAATAATAATAATAATAATAATAATAATAATAATAATAATAATAATAATAATAGGTCAGACTCAGATGGAAAGACAAGGATAAAAAAATTAAAAGAGAGGATCCAAGGTTTACAAGTTATGCGTTTTGTGCCAAACACTAATGACAAGAGTACATAAACCAGAGTGTGCAACTCGGGGTGGTTCCTGTGGGAGCGTAATTTGTGCAGTACGTCATTTCTGATCTCATGGTAGGCCACAGGTAAGGTGAAAATGTGCGTAAGCAGTCCCAGTGGTGCAGGTTGCCGAGTTTGTTAGGCACATGCTATAATTTTATCGTATTGCTTTTAAAAGTTCAAGACATCTCACTTACTGACACAGAGGATTTGGGCTCGGTGATTGCTTGTGGTGTTCACAAACCTCTGTTTTCTCTCGCTAAACGTTACGGTTCTGTAAAGGGAGTTGCCGTTCACCACGATTGGTTTGACGTGGTAAGGTGCTTGCCGAATAGCCAATCTCTCTAGGAATCTCTCTCTTAATACATGGCCATGTGCTTGCAGCCAGGCCCCGGTTATGAGGTGAAGTCCGTACTGCTCACATGCCTCCTCTGCGAATTGCTCAGTGACGTTGGGCCTCAGTGCTGGCGTTGCTGTGGTGTATACTGAGGAGTTGGCGTGAAGCCACTTGGCTGCAAAACAAGGGCACATACAGTAGGCAATAGGGAATACAGTCGTCCCTCTCTAATCCGGCACTTGTGTATCCAGCACCCTTGCAAACCAGCACACTTTCTGGTTAAACGATTTTTTTCAGTTCTTTTTCTACCCTTTAATCCGGCACTTGAATTCCGCCTCCAGCAGCGATTTTCTGCAACAAATCACTCAAACTGAACATAATTTGATTTTCTAATTCAGCAGTTGTACATCGCATACTGTCAGGGACCATTGTAACATACACAACACATGTAACATACATTTGGGAATAAATATCCTATGCTAGTACATAAGATAATCCCAAGTGTATGTTATAGACATGCATTCCATGATTCCACAAAGTACTTGGTTTGACACAGAAGATCCCTATGTTTTGATATACGACACAAACATGTATGGTAACATGTGGGCCGGGTTGGAGGGCAGGATTTGATAATCCACTCGCGGCACCCTTGTTTATCCAGCAGAAAATTCCATTGCAACAGGTGCCGGATTAGAGAGGAACGACTGTATGTATAACAAACGCAATGACAACAGTGAGCATTCCCAGATGGCTTGGAGTACTCAACACCACCAGGATGGAGCGATCCAACAAAGGACTGCCTTAGCTCCACTTTGTGCATGAAACGAAGCATCACAACAATTATTTAACCGATTCTCTCTGGTCTCTTCTGCCTTTTTGACAAAAGTCACGAAATAAATCTAAATAACGGGTGCCCACAATCTAGTCATGCTCAATAAAACCCGGTCTAACGGAAAGGTCAATGCTACCATTTCACCCCTATTCTGAGACAGGTTCAGGTGTCGGCCTATATTTGCAGGCATGGGGCTGGGTGGACTTCACTGAGCAGCACCGTGCCATAGTTGGGAATCACCCAGCGGTTATACCAAGAGTACATAACCCCCCAGAGTGTGCAACTTCCACATACCCTGCTCTCCCGACAGACTTTCAAGTTGACGTCATTAATTATGGGGCTGGGGAGACTTCATTGAGCAGAACCATGCCATAGTTGCGGATTACTTGGTGGTCAAACGAAGGGAGTAGTATGATGCCGGGTTACATAAGCATATGATAGAAGTGTTTTGATTGCTTCCGTGTGTGTGGGTCTGAATCTGGCTATACCGATCAGTTTCCAATTGAACTCAGAAACCTCGGTTGTAATAACTCTTGCCGTGCCTACCCTATCCATTCGTCCCTGGCTACTCAACATTTTTCTCTCACTCGTTCATATGATCACAATGCAACAGCCTACCTTCGCAGATGACATCATGATGGCTTGCTCCGTTACTATCAAGTAACTCTTCTCTTAACTGGTTCTTGCGCTGCTGGTACATGATATTTTGGTCATCCTCCTCGAGCGATGCCGATATTGAGATAGAGTTGCTGTCACCGCTCGCCATCATCTTGACATCAAGATGGCTTGCTCCACTACCATCATCATGTAACTCTTCTCTCAACTTGTTCTTAACTTGTCCTTGCCCTGACGATAGGGAGATAGGGTTGCTGTCACCGCTCGCCATCATCTTGACATCAAGATGGCTTGCTCCACTACCATCATCATGTAACTCTTCTCTCAACTTGTTCTTAACTTGTCCTTGCCCTGACGATAGGGAGATAGGGTTGCTGTCACCGCTCGCCATCATCTCAAAATCAAGATGGCTTGCTCCACTACTATCATGTAACTCTTCTCTTAAGTTGTTCTTGCCCTCCTTGTAAATAACATGCTTGCCATCCCTCAAGAAAGATGTCCATATTGTGATAGGGTTGTTGAAATTGCTTGCCATCATCTTGTTGAGCAATGCTTCCATGCAGTCCCGCACGCCCAGAGACAGGGTTGTGAAGGCATTATAGTCTACCACGTCGTATCCTCTTCTCTTGCACATCTGTCGGGCATGCGTCAAGTTCGTCTTCTTCTGGCAGCTGTCACCGTCGAGGTGTGGATGACACGGCAAGCCGGCGAGAGCCATCCAGGTGTACATTGCCTTATCTGTACCCAGGCACTTTGTCTTGAAACCTTAACATAACACAGTGCACATGCAAGACACGGTCAGGTGAAGTAGAACACAACTGGACCACAGCCTAACAAGACGTACACTTGCTCCGTAGGGATACCGCAGTCCATTTCAGAATTTGTTTACTAAAATGATCAGAAATATCATCGGATCATCACAGCTATACAGTAAAACCTGGTGTAAGCGACCTCTGGGTTTAGCGACCACCTGCTCTTAACACGGACCATTTTTTCCATGGACTGACAGTTCCACACAGACACTGTGGGACCTGGTTCTAAAGACCACCTGGCTTTAACGACCGCTTTTGCTTGCACCTTGGAGTGGTCGCTGAAACCAAGTTTTACGGTAGTTCTGGTGATGGCAGTCATTTTTTTAATCAGACTTTTCCGCCCTCAACTTTCCTCAAACTTCCGAACAAAACACCTACGTCAGGCGCTATTTGCTTTGTTCCTTGCCCTAAACTGTTACAGTACATATCGGTTATAGTGCGGTCGTGTACAAGAATATGCTGCCTACAAGAATGAACTCTAATATCTTCATAATCGAACTTGCATTTGTTCGTAACGCTGCAAGTGCACCTGACGTGGCCAGGTATCTTGTTGCAGAGCCACATGGACAGACCTATGGGACTATGAACAGCCGCACGTACAAACGCACTACGAATGCATGTCCAATGATCTTCCCCGCCTGCAGGTCCATGAAGCTAGCTGTCCTGTTGTATGGTGCCCGTGGGCCTAGTAAACTCGGACACTGGCGTGTACATAGTGCGGACGGAGAATGCCACAAATGTAAAGACCCACCAAGCGCAGCTCACAGCCAACAGCAGCCGCGCTTTCGACTACAGTAAATCGCCCAATATCCGCGTCACTAAATTTTCGCGATTTCTTAGAACCAACAAGTTTGCGATGGCAAAAGGTCGCGAAGCACAGTGGACACCTACATACACCCACTGTTGAAGCTTGATTTCACGATGGTTAATATTTGCGTCATTTTACAGTATTCCAGAAACATGAACAAAACACGGGTTTACTTCATACGGCATATACTTACTGTGCTGACACTGATCTCCATGGAAACGTTTCCGGCAGATGCAGGTGCCATCTTCGGTGCACTGGCCGTCATTCAAGCATTTGCATGCTGCAGCAGTGATTGGGAATATTCACGCATTTCCAAAGCACACAAAAAGGAATAGAATACCGGACTGTCGAGAAATTGTTCACATGTCCTTGCCCATCATCATTGACGCCTCAAACCAGCTTTTTTAACCACTTACGAGGGTGTCCAACTCCCCATATCAATATTTTTGCCGAAGGGGTAGGGGCGCAGCATTGACTTCCGTGCACGCTGCTTTGCACACTTCACGCTTTACACTTCAAGTGCAGAGATGTATTAATTTGTAGCTTCTTCTTTTCTTATTTTTTAGATCAGTTTTTTTACAAGGCAACACAATATTTTAGCTTCTTCGCCCCTTTTGGTGTATTCTAGTTGCAGTGTTCAGATTAGCCAGAATTCTTGTAGCCGACATATGCTCTCCCAATCAGTTTAAAATAATTACATCCCGGCTACAAACTGAGCATATGTTGCAGAATAGGTCGGAGAAGCCCGCATGAGGACTCTGGAGTTGTTTTCTTGTCTTCAAAATACAACATTCAAGCATGCGTGAGAGCATAGGTCATACATTCTCTGACATGCCTACATACATTACAGCAGCTTTCTTCAGCCCTTACCTTCTGTGCAGTTAGGTCCATCTAGTCTGGTCGCACATTCGCATAATTTGTTCTTTTTCACCCAGGGATGTGTACACACAACTGCATCACACATGGCAAGGAAGGGGAAGAAGAGGAAGAGAGTAAATCAGCCAGACACGAAGTCAGACAGACTAAAGTTGCATTTAGTTGGGCAATTCCAGAATGATATTGACCACCCGTGATTCTGGATTGTTAATGATTGCTAGCATGCCGTCCTACCGGTAAGACCACGGGTCCTACCGGTAGAACCCAAGAAATTGCGCTGCAAAAGTGCTGTTGCTTGAGAATCTTGTTGAAACAATGGGTGAGATGAGGTTCTTGTAGTACAAAGTAATGACGCAAAAGGCAAGACTACATCCAGGGCATTGCATATGTGCAATTTTATCAATTTTCAAAATGGGCGCCCATGTTCCTGTCGAAGCGCTTGCAACTGCGTCCAAAGTGAATTTCGACCATGGCATATTGATTGCCATGGCAGTGGAATGCAAAATTCCACACTCTGTTTCCATGGCTACCATGGACTGTTGACATAGAATTTCTTATTATGCCTCGTACGATCATGTCCAATAAGCGTGGACTCCTTCATTAGCGAGTCAAAGTACTTGTCAGTGCATGATTAAAAAATCCCAAGGGAACTGAAAAAGAATACTTGAAGAAAACTAAATCTCTTCTACTTACCGAGTTGGCACTTGTCTCCGGTGAATCCTTTCGGGCAGCTGCATTCACCTTTGTTGTCACACTGACCCTGATTCAAGCACTTGCATGCTGCAACGCCCATCAATAAACGCATGCACGGAGTGGCATAGAAAAATGCACGGGGTGTTACTCTATGCTTAGTGGAAATCGAGACATTTATCATTTAGTCTTGTCTCCGCTGACCTGGTGAGAAGGCAGAAATGCCTGTTCACTTGGTGAAGTAAAATAAAAATAAACAACAACAACAACAACGAATTCTTCATTTCACAGAGCAAGCTGTCCGTGGCCAATGCGGATGAGCAAACTTCAGCCATCAACACCACCCCTGACATCCTCAGTCCCCTTCAAGAAATCTCGACTTCCCAAGCTGAGGTCGAAAAACTCCTCCGCGGAGTTGATACCAACAAAAGCCCCGGGCTCGACTCTATTCCAAACCGCCTACTCAAAGAAGCGGCTAAGGAACTTGCACCGTCGTTATCGTACCTCTTTAATATATCGTTCCAAACCGGAGATATCCCACAGGAGTGGAAAGATGCCACCATTACTCCAGTACTCAAGCCTGGTGACCCAACCCAACCAACAAATTATAGACCCATCTCTCTCTTGAGCACTACATCAAAAATCCAAGAAAAAAATTGCACGTCAACTCCTCTACAAGCACATCACACCCCACCTGCCAAACCAGCAGTCCGGATTCCGCGAGAAAGACGGCACTGCGCAGCAGATCGCCCGTCTCGTCCATACCCTCTCCACTGCGAGAGACGACGGGAAACACGTCAATGCCTGCTTTTTTGATCTAAGCAAGGCCTTCGATCGTGTGTGGCATGCCGGCCTTCCAGCAAAACTCTCCCACTATGGTGTCCAGGGCAACGCCCTGAAGTGGTTCCGACGGTACCTGTTGGGGCGTCGGCAGAGGGTCCAGGTGGATGGCGACCTATCGCCTTTCCTCGAGATCCCTGTCGGCGTCCCTCAGGGATTTATTCTTGAGCCGCTTCTATTCCTTGTCTACAACATAGACCTTCCACACGCAAGTGAGAATCCCGGCACCACCTGTAGCCAATTTGCAGATGACACCGCTCTGATTTCCAAAGCGAGAAATCTTCAAGACTGCACCCGAAACTACAGAGTGTCACAGCAGCTGGAGACTGGCTTCAAAGATGGCACCTGCTGGTTAACACAAAGAAAACAGTCATCCTCCCGTTCTACCACAATAACCGCCCCCCTGAACAGCTACCCCAGATCACCCTCAGGAATATTCCGCTTACCGTAGCACAAAAACACAAACACCTCGGAATAATCTTTAAGCATGACCTCCGTTGGACGGAGCATGTTGAATACATAGTCAAAAAATCACTCAAGTCTTTCAATATTCTTTTTAGACTAAGGTCTACACTCACCAGTGATTCTTTATCTCACATCTATCAGACATACATACTACCTATATTCTCATATGCGAGCAATGCTCTCACACCGTTGTCACACACTTCCCTTGACAGGCTAGAACGACTCCAGCGGAAAGCCGCCAGAATATGTCTCCACCTTCCCCTTTACACACACTTAGAACACTCCCACCTTTTGCATCGCATCAAATGGCCAACATTATTTTCACACTTTTAAGTTAAACATACACTCTTCGCGCATTCTTTGCGCCACAATTATGCCCCACCACATATACTCTCGCCGCATACTGTTAGCAACGTGCAACCTTCGTATAATTTACGTCGCTCTCATACTTGGCATTGCCGACTCCGCGGACTGACCGCTGTCTCCATTCTCCCCTGTACAAAGCCCTTCATTACTTTAATTGCTTGCCCACCCAGCTTCGCGAAATCCCTTCTCGTTTTCCCTTCAAATCCGAGATATCCCTGCTGTTGCACAACTCTGTATGCTCGTGTGGCGACCACCCCTGCCCGTACACTTAAGTAGTCATTAACCCCTACGCCTTGCCCACCCAATTCTTCCTCACTCTTTCTCCTTTCTTACACTATTATCTCTTATTGGCCACTGGCTATCGTGAGAATAAAGATTTGAAACAACAACAACATTTGACTGGGATGGGCATGATCGATAGGGCGAATCCAGAGCAAGTGCGTTCCGAGCAAGTGCGTGATCAATTGGCCTAATCTGGCCGAATCCGGAGTAGGTGTACTTGGAGTGGAATCCGACCACACCGGCCCCCAACCCGGGAGTCGCTGGAGTGGAAATGGACGTTGACGTTTTTTGGAAGCCTTCACAGAATCTTTGTACGACATGCGTGCATTTTGCGTACTACACCCTTGCTTTGTTAGATTTGGCCAGCGTTGTTCGAATGTCACTGCCTGCTCGCACTCAATCCAGTTTCGCCAATCGATGAGACCCTTGAGCACGAGTTAATTAACCATTTAGCCGTGGCAATGTCAGCCATCTCCAGCAAATGCTTCATGCGAGGTACAAGGCTCTCCATGACTTTCACACTAACTAAGTGGTCTAGGTAAATTGGGCCGGTCTCTCCGCTTGCATAGATCATGATACTGGATGATCTCCAGCAGTCTTGCTGCGTGTTCTCAGATAAAACAAAAAAACGAATGGCTTGGTGTCTTACCCTTTTCACAATATTGACCATAGGTTGAGGTGCGGTTACACACACAACTCAGGTTTGGTCCAAGAACACCGGTCTCACATGTCTCTGTGCAGAACAGGACAACAAAAAGTCAATTGCATTACACTCTAAAGGTCGATTCACAGTACAACTTTCTGCGACGTGACACACGATTTGCGACAGTTGCGACAAGAATCTGCCTGTCGCGAGCTGTCGCAAGCTGTTGCAAAGCACCTGTCGCAGAAGTTGAAGAATGTTGTACGACATACACAAAATGGAGTACTGTTTTGACCCTGGGTGCACATGCAGTGCACGTGCATAGTACTACTAGCGCATAAGGATGTCGCAAACATGAAAACGATAGATGATATGCCATATAACGTGCAACTAGACTTGGGAGGGCATTGCAGAGTAAGTAGTTGCATACAACGTTCAAAGTTGTACAGTTACCTGTGACTTGTCCTCATGCAGAGCTCAGGGCCTACCGTGTACACATTGTAGTATAATTTGTATGCAACTTGTGTGCAATGCCCCCTCAAGTCTAGTAGCACGTTATTTGGGATATCATCTATTGTGAACTGTGTGTCGCTGTCGCAGCTCGTCGCAGGTGTTGTAAAGTTGGATGTCGCGTCGCAAGAATTTGTATTGTGAATCGGCCTTTACAGTCCCTAACACTTGACATTTTTGATAATCCAAAATGATGGTCCAAGAAACCTTATCATTCAGCAAAACATTATAGGAACTGATGCGTGAGAGCAGGGATTTTTCAGTATTTACCCTCATAGGATCTGCCAAGGAGCTAAAGCATAGTGCATTTGACAGTTGCCGTTAAAATACAGCAGGGTGCCAATTGTCAGCCACCCTTCGGGGCACTGGCCATTTCCACGGTGATCAGAGGAGAAGAATGGTCGGTTATGGGACCACTCATACATCTATCACATGCATATTCCAGCAAATTTTCACCATTTTGAATTCTCTTCGGTAGTACAACAGGACCTAGGTGCACTCCAGCTTCTCATCGTTGTACATTTTGACTGAACAACCTGCTGTAAAACATCTTGGGCATCGCTTGAGTGGTGCTCCGAGTGGCAAAAATCAGCAAAACTTCAAAAAAAAAGCTACCAATTTTGTATGTTGTCCAGCCCGACCAGGAGATCCGGATAACCGATTGTCCGGATAGTTAACGTCCGCACAATCGGTGTTTGACTGTAAAATAATATCCCATCATACCCCTCATTCGAACACCTAGATAATATGGCCTGCGCTCCCAGGGTTGTGGACAATCGCCACGCTACACTGCATAGACTTTCTTCCAACAAATAAAGTTGCTTGCGCCAAACAAGCAAGTCGCAATCAAAACTTCGAAATTACAAAAAAAAACACAACCTGATCCTCAGTTCAGGAAGGGCTCTCTATATTGGGATCCATTGTGCGTGCAAGGAATGCTTGGATACGACATGTTTGCACGTTGCAAGGTCACATCGTACATAGTGGCACATTATTAGCACAAGCCCTGTTCACACAGTTAACGGTGGCACAGGACACATGTTACACAAATGCACAAATGCACAACAGTATACTCATCGTGCTGAGGTCACACACAAGGGCAGAGCACTACTTGTGCATGGTAAGAGCACTACTTGCGCATGGTCAGCCTTTTAAGTTAAGGAGCCTTGTCTCACTTACTGACACAGAGAATCTGGGCTTGAGTTTTGCTTGTGGCGTTCTGAAACGTCTGCTTTTGTGCGCTAAACATTACGGTTCTGTAAAGGGAACGGCCATTGACTCGGATTGACGCGACGTGGTAAGGTGCTTGCTGGTGCTTATGCAATAAGGCCAACTTCTCTAGCCAGCGCTCTGTTAACACATAGCCATGTTCTTCTAGCCACTCCTTGGTAATGAGATGATATCCGTACTCCTGACATGCGTCCTCTGCGAACTGCTCAGTCACGCTGGGTCTGTGTGCTGGAGTTGCTGCGGCGTGTACAGAATCGTTGGCCTGGAGCCATTTGGCTGCAAATCAAGGGAAAATACAGTTGCGGGTAGAAACACATCATGAAACAAATCTACGAATAAGGGAGGCTTGAAATCAAATGCCCCGCTCCATGACACGTGATCTCATGGATACGGAAGTGCCCAGAGCTAGTGAGTAGTTCAATGTTCACAGGCCTGGGGCTCGGCAGACTTCATAGAGCAGCACCGTGTCACATTTGCAAATCATTCAGCGGTTCTACCAAAGGAGTAGTATAACACCGGGTTATGGCACAAGCATACACATGAAATGTTTCTTCGCAGATGAAACTAATTGGTTACTCATGTGTGGATATGACCCTGGCTAGAGCGGTAGGTTTCTCATTGAAGAGGGAAACCTCGGTAGCATTCACTACTCTCGCCGTCTCTGTTTCATTCCTCCTGTCCCACTACTATCACTGGACACACCCTTTAACCCACTAACCGCTGTATATATATATACATCATTGAAAATGATGCCCAGGCGCTGAGGACGTATATATATGAGTGGTTGCTCCCAAGCTTCCTAACTATATATAGAGAATTAGAAAAGTTGCCTGACGATTGAAAAAAAACTCAAGAAACTCGGAGTACCAGATATGGATTGATCGAAGAAGGATAGATTGACCATCACTGTGGATAAGAGTCATACTGTAGCTCAGTTGGTTAGAGCATTGCTCGCGAATAGCAAGATCCCTAGTTCGAGTCTCGGTGGCGTGACTGATGATTTTCTTTCTTTCTTTCATATCTGGCTTGCAAGTGTTGAGAGAAAAGAGCAGTACGTGGCATGTGGCCTCTGGTTTCCCAATGCGCTTATAATGTGAACACTATTGGTGAAACACCCGGGAGCTGAATATACTGCTAAGCATTGTGATAACACCGTTGTTTAGAACACAGACAAACCTTTATTGCACATAATATAAGCGTATGGGCTTCTACCCGGACATGTTCACACAGCAAAAACTCTTTTTTTGCAGCAAATTTTCACATATATGCCCATGGGCGTATATGTGGGGAAGTATGGTATATACCGGTATAGATTATACATCTTTTTCATTGCCAAAAAAAGTGCAGAGCCTGGGTGCCATGGTCTATAGCCTTAAAGGGGTTAAAACGCAACAGCCTACCTTCACAGATGACATCATGATTGCCTCTTCCATCCCTGTCAAATAGTGCGTCGCTCGAGTTGTCCTTGCCTTGCTTGTAAATAACATGCTGACCAAAGTACATGTACGATGTCCATATCTTGAGAGGGGTGCTGTAGCTGCTGTTACTTCTAGCCATCATCTCGCTCAGCAATGATTTTATGCAGTCGCTAACACCCAGCTTCAAGCCAAGCTCAGTGAAGGAATTATAGTCTACGAAGTTGTATCCTCTTCTCACGCACATCTCGCGGGCGTGCACGAAGTTCGTTTTCTTCTGGCAGCTGCCATAGTCGAGATGTGGATAACACGGCAAGCTGGCAAGAGCCATCCAGGTGTATATTGCATTATTTGTGCCCAGGCACTTTGTCTTGAAAGCTGAACATAACACAGTACACATGCAAGACACAGTCAGGCGAAGTAGAACACAACTGCAGCACACTCTAACACGACATACACCGACTTTCTCAGATGGATACCGGAATCCAGTTCAAATAATAGATAGGTTAAGATGCATGTTATTTCCGATAAAATATTGGTTGGGGATTGTCTGAAGCATATTCAAGCGAGGTACAGTCGGGCTTGATGACTGATCAAAGCCCTCGGGCTGGTCCCTTGGGCTTCGATCAGCCATCAAGCCCTCCGTATCTCGCTTGCCGATTATCTACTTTAGTAACGTTACTCTGATTAGGCGTATATGCAAGCAGGCCATTGAATAATTTCGCGGTGACCGTCTTTGCACCGGGTTTGGAGAGCTGAGCCATGGTTAATTCATAGATAGTGAGGGAAGGAGGTGCGGGGGGGGGGGGAGGGGAGCGGGGGGGGGGGGGGGGATACCAATAACGAGAGAGCTTGGAAGCTCAGGGCCCTACGCTATGCTTTTTTGCCTTGATGACCTAGACAACAAAAAAAGCGTAGGGATGTTATAAATTCTTTAAAAAATTCCTTTTTTTTAGACATAACCTGGGATTCGAACCCGCACTATCGCGCGCCCTGCATTCATCCCCCGATGCACTTCGCATACATACTAATTCTTCCAAGTTGTTTCACATTGTGATCTTGCATTTGAAAGCCCTATTTGAGTTATATGCATTGTGGCCAGCCGTCTTTGATGGCACGGTACGGTAGGGGATAGGGACGGGACAGGTACGATCGAGGGTAATACGACACCATCTCCCGTACCGTACCATCAAACACAGCTGGCCACATACAGCTTCCCGCAATATTCAAATAGGGCTTTCAAACGCAAGATAATAACGTAACGCAACTTGGAAGAATGGGTATGAATGCGAAGTGTATGGGGGAATGCATGTAGGGCGATAGTGCGGGTTCGAATCCCAGGATATGCCTGAAAAAAAAGGAGAATTGAAAAATTTATAACATCCTATGCTTTTTTGCCGTAAGATACGGATAGCGCCAGGCGTGACACAAACAAACAAACACACAAACAAACACCAAATTAAAGCTGTGTGGACCCTGGCTAGCGCCAGACGTTACTGAAGTAACGTCTTCTGCATAGCTACGGGAATTAAACTTCCGAGGCACTTCTTTTGGCACTTGAGACAATTTCTGTAACAATCAAGTGCTTTAGAGGTGATTTACACGACGGCAGGACTCATCCCATGCCTGATGCTACCATGGAGATCTAGTCACATGTGCTCATATTTCGGCGCGAACGGATCCCGGTAATGTCCCGGTGCCATGAGGGGCTGGGGGAGGGGGAGGGGGGGGGGGGGGTGGTTGGAAATGCATATCGTGACATTCCGTGGTCTGTTTTGCAAGCTCTCGGGATCACGTGCTTCTCTTCCCGGCGGGATGCACTGCCGTCACGTAAATCGCCTCTTAGGAAGTCAGAGAGATCTCGAGCTGGTCTCCAGAAAAGCATGCTGTCTTCAAGCACTAGCTTCCTGTGTCCGAAAGAAGGGGGGGGGGTGGTAAAACACAGGTATGAATCGGTTCGGAACCCAAATTTGGTTCCGAACCGATTCATAACTTAAGAATAATTGTTGATGTATGCATGTACATGTATGGTCACAATTCCCAGGAGCATGTGAATCAAAGAAACACGAGTATTCACTTCATTTAGCAGTTACTTACCATGTTGACACTGGTCTCCATGGAAACCTTTCCGGCAGTTGCAGGTGCCGTCTTCAGTACACTGACCATCATTCAAGCAATTGCACACTGCAGTAGAGATTGGGTGCATTCACATATTTCCCAAAACACACAAATAGGGATAGAACTTGAATAACCTATTGGATTCTCAAGTCGTTGTCGCATGTATCTTGATCATCATGACATTGTATAGACCTCAACATCACCACAAACACTAACACTAACACCCATTCACCAATCCCAGGTATATTATTATTATTATTATACGCATTCCCGCGTTGAAGTGTAGCAGCAGTATGCTGCGTCCACAGCTTCGCTTATGCAGAATGGCTTGGGTGAGAGGAGAGGGGAGAAAAGCAACAAGGCAACCAACATCTATGAAATTGGTCACAATAACATGAAGAGAACCAACCAGTAAAAAGGCAACATTGCCTGTTGGGAAATCCCTAACAAAATAAGAAAAAATAATAATAATAATAATAATAATAATAATAATAACCTACATGTACATATGCATGATTGCACAAGAATGGAGACGACCAAATATAATGGCTATAATCACTGTGCCACAAAACCGGTACACAGGAGATCTGACGACAATGTAACGAAACATAAAACTCAGTTACTCAATACAGGTTCCACTAAATTACAAGAGAACAACGCTACAACGTTAGAATTGCCGCTAAATTATCGCAAGTGTAGAGAACGAGTCCAATAAAACATGAAAACCATGAACAGACTGTCCCGAAGTTATTTTGGGAACAAATTGTACTACATGACTGTACTTGCTGATACTGACGCTGACGGAACACGAATTAGAGTTGAATACTCACGAAGTCTTGTACATGCACATCATTATGCGCCGGTGTTGTGGAGTAAGCAGGTACGTCAGTCACCAATCCAGCTTCAGCTCCACGCTCGCTTCAGCAGAATGTTGCCCGCGTTTGCTTTGCCTCCACACGGATAGACGACCAGCGCAGAGTCCCGCAGCTCCGTGGCCGTAAGGTCTTGATATTCGCCGTTAGCGCCGTCAAGTCTCAGTCCACCTCTCACACCAAGCCGCCCTATAAAAATCTTTCTCTCTCCATTGGAGTGCTCCCCAGTTGCGCAAGGAGACTAGAGAAATTCCTCCGGTGAGCGAGGAAGAAGAGCGGAGTTACCCAACTCAACCTAATCCCAGGTATAACCAACTTATAATCATGCCTTGCACTTGAATAGAACACACTTTCAGCTAATAAAGCTGGAGAACCAGGCATAAACGCCGGGAAGTACTTTTTCTTGTCTTCAAAAACAACAGTCCAGCACGCGGGTATGCATGGGTCATATATTCTTTGACACGCGGGCTAAAATGGCAGCAGCCTTCTTTAGCCCTTACCTTCTGTGCAGATGGGTCCGTCTGGTCTCGGTTTACATTCACATGCTTTGTTCTTTTTCACCCAGGGATTTGTGCACACAGCTGCATTACATATCACACACAGAGAAGACAAAATGAGAGAGCGGATCAGCCATACACAAAATGGACAGACAAAACGAGAGTGTTGTGGAATTATCCACCACCAGACCAGCGCAAGGATATAAGTTGGACTATAATTATTAATTTCAATTCCAAAATGCACAAGAAGTGTACAGAAGAAAAAAGCACGAACTCGACCAGGCCAGAAGCAAGAAGAACTGAACACAAGATATTGAAAACCCTTCTCCTCAACAAGCTGCATCACGTACAACGCAAAACAACTGGCTGCACCAGTGTGTGCATCAGCGCGTGCACCAGCGCGTGCACCAGCGCTGCACCAACGTGTGCACCAGCGAAATCAATATCGAAAGTACGTATCAATCATTACATTACATACAACATGCGCAAGAGGGTTACTCTACTTCACGACGTAGAAGAACGGCATCACCAACGGCGAACAGACAGTTATCAGCTTCAGACTCAACAAAGTCCTTGGAGGACAGCTCAGCTTCCACAAAATCACGGATCCGAGCAGCCTGGCGTTCAAGATCAGATGGAGCCAGGAGTAGCCGACAAGAGAACACCGGAGGGCTCCCAGCCAAGCATCGCACACATAGGAGAAATCTTGAGGACAGAGTGCGGACGAATACGGTCGAAATACAGTAACACGTCCAGCTCAGATCGCCAATCATCAGCCTCATCCAACACCTTCCAAATTAAGGTGAGGAGAGTGCGGTTAAATCGCTCAACAGATCCCTGTAATAGGGGATGACTCACGGCACCATTGAGCACTGTCACACCCAACGTGTCAAACAGCGATGACATCACGGCGTTGATGAATTCCGTGCCATTATCACAGCGGACCACTCGGGGCGGGCCCCACCGCGTACACAGGCCGACAAATGCCTCGGCCACTGATGCCGCGTCATGTTGACGGAGCAGAACCACTTCCACCCACTTGGTGAAAGTATCCATGCAGACGAGAACACAATGGTACTCTCCACTCTGATCGCCGCCCAGTTCCAGAGTATCTATTACTACAACACTCCATTGGGCCATTAGCCACCACAGGGCGACTGGCATCCGCCGAAACGCCCTTGGTTGGGCTGGCAGCAGCACACGGCGAACAGTGGCGCACAAAAAAACTGCTGACATTGGGCAGCCATGTTCGGGAAATAGCACTTCGAGCGGAGGAAGCGCCATGTACCCTCCCAAGACGCATGACCACAGTTCACATGAGCAGCACGAACGACATCGGACTCGAGTGAACTAGGAATAACAGGAATGACGACGGCATCATTGGGCGGCAACTTCACACTTCGACACAGCATACCATCATGGACTACGAGCTGTGACTTGACCTTGACAAACGCAGGATCAGTAACTGGGTCACCATCGATGACTTGCTGGCGAGTCGCAACAATCCGAGGATCTGCATTCTGAGCAGCACATACTCTGTCCAATGAGAATGGACTAACGGTCACCGCCGCAGCGGTGACAGACGGTGCAATCCGAGAAAGGAGCGTCTTGCCACATCGGATCCAGCTGCTGGGAACACGGGTCAATTGATCCGCCTTGTTCTGCTGACTGCTGATCCACTGGACCTTGACTGTCAAACCCGTGACAGCGACGAGATCAGTGATAATCTGGAGACGGCGCTGTACAAGTACCTGCTGCAGGCCGCTGACGCGAACACGAGACACCTTGCCAAGCACCGATTGCAACCTAGCAGCCACAGTCTTGGAATCGGTGAATAGCGTGAGCTCCTTCACTTGCCACTGCATGGCAAGGTGCAACCCCTTGATCACGGCGTCACGCTCAGCAATGTTAATGTGTCGCCGGTCGTCCTTCTGCCGCAGCCAGCAGCCATCCTCGACAATCATACTATCGGCCTGAATGACAGCACCATGTGCGATGTCCGAAGCATCACACCACAACGACCACTGTGCGTCTTCAGGAACTGACCATACACCTTGCGCAGGGTCATCGGTCTGCAGACGGTGAATGACTTCCGCACAACAAGCGACGACTTCATGAGACACTGGATCGTCCCATCCAGGCTGAAGGCTAGACCGACGCTTCAGATAACTGCACGCCAGGCGCAGCCAGGAGCAGACAGAATAGTGGCTGGTCAGCTTGCCACACCACTTGAAAATCTCGCGCCTTGTGACGGCATCGGGCTGACAGGTCGGCATGACGTCACCACGACACATCCACCTCACTTGGCCATCTGCAGACTCTGACAGCAGCAGGCCGAGTACCCTAGCAGAGACGACTGGCTCCGCTGGCTTGGTGGGCAACCCGTACTGCGACAACTGATCGGTGACAGCACGTAGACGAGGCTTCGGAGCATACAAATCATCGACATAGTTATCCACATCAGCATACGCACGGAGGACCCACTTAACGATTATGTCCATGAATTTGGGCGCAATCGATAGACCGAAGCCCGTCCTCTCCATTGCGAACAGCTGGCCCTTCCAGACGATCGTTTGGAACTTGGCGAGAGCTGGCGCGATGCGGATGTTGAGGTAAGTCTTGCTGATGTCCAGCAACACGTGGCTGTCGGCGTTGCCAATAGACCTCCACTGACGCAATTTCCCTAGCAAACAGGCACGTCCAAACCTCGATGCGACACAATCAAATTGTTGAGTTGCCGGTAGTCCAAACACGGGCGGACAGGGGTGGACTCCTTGTGCGTCTGGGCCACCGCCAACAAGGGAAACACAGCACCAGGCTCACCATGGACTGCTTGGTCATGGGGTACCAACCATCCATTGCGGATCAACATGTCCACTTCCTCGCAGAACTGTGACTCCTACCCTCTGTCCCCCTCTAAGTCGAACAAATGGGGACTGAGACCTGTACACCAGGGTTTTTACGCCTGAAAGCAGGTGCATGATTTAACAAGCAGGTTGTCAGTCTAGATTTTATGCGCAGATGGAGAAAAAATGCGCAATTTTTTTGTAATGTGATGAAAAGCAGAAATAATAAGAAAAGATGAAATGAAAGCCTGCTCCGCACAACCCCGTCCAGCCTTGCGAACTGGGTATGGTGGATTAAGAACCTGGGTCAACGCTCGAGCAAGCGCTCTCCACTCCAGGTGTTCACAGCAACTGTTAGGGAAATTATAGAAAAGAAATAATAAGATGAAGTCAAGCTCATTTGAATTTTCGGTTTGTACGGTGTTTGCAGCAGCGCGGATTCGAATCTCCTCACGCATGTTCCTGTCGATGACCCCGAGTACGTTGTCGTGCCTCCAGGTGTATACGTGTAACGTCCTGGTCCAGCGCTACGCGACAAGCGCCAAACACGTGACGCGTAGTACAGGCCCAGCAGAAAGAGAGAGGGGGAGAGAGAGAGAGAGAGAGAGGAGAGAGAGCGAGATGGAGGGAGCACGAACGCACGTACCGGAATGCTAGCATAGCGCAGCTACCTTGGATCGTGATGGCGTACTTATCCATGCGCTGTTGGGTTGGTTCCTCACCGAACGACTTCACCTGTACATTTACAACACCAACGTGTGTTGTTGACACCAACGCTGCAGTCACAAATGACGCCTCAGCACCGGAGTCCAGGAACACGCGAAACTTCGCCTTTCGAGTTCTTCCCTCAACTCGTGCAACTCCGCTCATCAGCCGCACACTTGCTGAGTGTAGACAGCACGATCCAACATTCTTCTCTTTTACTACCTAAGTCGGTTTCTCCCGGCTGTAACCTGCTCCATTCAACACATCATGTATTAGCAGATGGTGCTTCCCCTGGCATTTTGTGCACCTCAAGCCTGACCGATAGTCCCTTGCCACATGGCCATAGTTGAGGCAGTTCCAGCAGAGTCTCCCTTGCTGCAGAAAAACTTTTCTCCCTTCCTGTGGCAGCGACTTTAGCTGCTTCTCTGCATGTGCGACTAGGTGAGAAAGTACTCATTATGTACAGTAACATTGAGTGCCGAAGAACAACTCTCCTTTGCCTAGCTTGAACTTTCACCTGACGACGGACAAAAGCAAAAAATAGCTTTCAATGTTTTGCCGAGAGTAGGTAACAAGCTCATCAGCTCAAACGCCTTACTCTTGAAGAACAAAAAGATTACAATTTTTGTGATGAAACAGGCCGAACACTAAACTCAGGAATAACGGGGTTTCATGTAAAGTTACTTTGTACAGTTCACATCTACTCTCGGACACTAGCGGAATACAATAAGAACAAGAAGCTGAAATCTGGAAAACAAGAACATTGCTGGTCTGAAGCCGGGACCCCATCCTAGGTACCTGTATGCTATTGCATGGTTTTAATTGGCATGAGTAGACTGTAAACAGACTCTAAACACACCCTGATAGATGCAGGACTAGATGAAAAAACACAGGCTAACAGCTGGATCTTGAGTACCTAGCCGGAAAATATAAAGACGCTCCGTAACGCATGACAATGGCAGGCCTCTATCAGCCACATGTAAAGTGCTGCCAACAAAATTGGTCTCTGGAAATTGGCGCAATGAGCATAACTTTTGAGTGTCCACATCACGAACAATTTGACTGTGCCGACACCTCTGTACTCATTACAAATTGCTGACTGACCTTGACATTGAGTTCCATTTCCGTGGTAACCTGACTTGCACAGACACATGTATCCGCCCTCATTATCAATGCAGATAGCATCCACATGGCATGGGCTAGCCGGCAAACATTCATCAATGTCTGAACAACAGTAGGTAAGCAGAATGCAAGGGGTTACTAACTGATTACATACTGCATTGTAACCATGGCCAGCGTCATAATAGGCACAACAAAAACAATTCAAATTCATCAGACAGCTCTAATAGCCTCAATCTCAATTGCTGTGAAAACAATTTGATCTGTTCTCGAGATTATAAACACTTGTGTCGCTGTCGATTGATTCTACAAACTCTGCTATAATCTATACTTGTCCAAATTCTGAAATCAGCAGAACATGTGCACAGATAAATCATGCTAACTGCTGCTGCACAGATCATTTCAGCGGACAGAGGGGTGTTATGGCAGAAGCAGCAGAGAATGCGGCAAAAAACGAACAAACACAAAAAGGCACTCTGACCAGCTTTCAATACCACACAAGAAAACAGGAAATGGTTTGGTTTGCAAACACTGCACACCATCATCAAGTAGAGCATGAGACTCTTAATCTCAGAGTTGTGGGTTCCAGCCCCACGTTGGGCGCCAATGTTGTGAAATTTCCCCCGCTCCCCGCCAAACCACCACTCTCTGACTCATTCACGTGGGCAAGAGGACGACACAGTTACTTGAACAATATCTCTTGGAATAAATAAATAACTGGTGGGCGGGATAACGGGGGAGAAAAGACAAAGAAATAATAAACAACCAACAGAGAAAAGGGCGAACACATCGAAACGACCAATCAGGGACTAATACGTACAGAACACATGACCCGACCAAGACAACCAGACCACGGACGAATCACACATGACTCTCATTCCCAGACCAAACTAGCACTGCGCATGTACAGCATTCATTTGACAGTCACTCTCACACAGACGGAAGTACATCCTCACTCTCTGACAACGCGTATTCTTGCATGCACCACATACCATAAACGTCACACATCACACCATATTCGCGCGTACACTTAGACCATATATGACATCAGACACTGGACTCCACCAGCCAAGAGCCAAATACAACAACATGCGTAAATCATAGTCGATCAGAAATCCGCAACAGTATGGTTGAACTGTGTGCCATAATCATCGACTCGAGTGGTATTTGAGAAAACTAGCGAGTATTCAAACGAATACGAGTATTCTATTGACCAGACATAAAACAATGCACGCCTACACACTTGCAAAACCAAACGCAGTACACCTGGTACGCATGATTGTAGTCTTGCTAGCAGCCTAGTTCTGGAAATACTCGCAACTACTGTGTTATTCTGCTAAGTAGGGACAAGTAATATTACATGTTGGGGGTCATACTACTGACAGTAGTTTTTGCGAAACAACGACTCGCTCATTTCAAATTTTCAAGAGAGGGATTGAGTATTGGACATACTCATGTTACCCTAACAGTAAAAGGTGTGTTTGGTTTGTACAAACTAGAAAAGGATCGGACAGCTGGTGCACATGGAGCAGCCTCATGCCAACCAAACGGTACTCCAGAAACAGAGCACATTTTTGTGAAAAATGTGCCAAACTTTGTTCATTCTTCAAAATGTTTATGAGTCACCATGGTCATTTTGTACGGTACAACGAGTTCAACCCACAAAAACGTATGCACGTGATCATTTTGGGACCAAAATCGATGTTCCTGCCAGGTTTTACTGTGAACAAGTGAAACTGCTCGGTCTTCTCCGGCCTCGAGGCCGGAGCTAGCAGAACATGTTCTGGTCGACCCAGAACAGGTGCAGTCCCAACCAAACACGCTGTTCTGGTGAATCCTGTTCTAGGTCATACCAACCAAACGCACCCTAAGAAGCATGCGTATTCACTTCACTTACTATGCTGACACTTGTCTCCGTGGAATCCTTTCTGGCAGTTGCAGGTGCCATCTTCAGTACACTGACCGTGATTCAAGCAATTGCATACTGCAGCAGTGATTGGGTGTATACACGTATTATCCAAAGCACACAAATGGAAATAGAACATAGTATATTGGATTCTCAAGAAGTTGCTGCATATATTTTGATCATCAGGAGATTGTCTAGACCTCAAAATACCTATTTAAAACACTCATTCACCAATCCCAGGTATATCCGAATCATACTCATTCGAATCTTTTCTTGTACAGTGCGGATCGGCTATAGGGTTATCGGCTATAGTAATATGCCTCTTATAGTGATCGTATTCTCAAATTCATTTTCGTAAACCACCCCTTTCTATACATATCGGATCGGCTATAGTAATAATCGGCTATAGTAATAATCGGCTATAGTAATATATCGGCTATAATGATACGATTTCTTTGTCAAAATGATCTTATTGCAAACATTTTTCATCGGCTATAGTGATGATCATAAACAATTATACATCGTACATGGCGAGATCTGATCGCGGCAGTCAGGAAGCGCTGGTACGACTATGATATCCCTCGGAGGAAATAATTCGAAATCTTTGGCGTGGGCTGTGCTTGTTGTTCCCGGGCATCCTCGAGCGAGATCGGAGGCAGTAATGAGTACCAGCGCTGAAGCGCTACCGTGGTCTCCGTCGAGATGTTGGAGAAGGCATTCAGGTAACAGCGAAGACAATCAAGGACGCCGAGAAGCTTCTCCGTGAAATACGATCGACCTGCTACTTGGAACGGTTTCAGCGGTGATGAGTCGAGCGATGGCGACCCAGACTGAGACTCTACTCCCACTAATCGATCCTGTAGATATTGTTATGTCGATTGAATGTGTTGAAGTGTTTCTCTTCCAAAAGAACACATTTGTTGAGCACAGCAACTCCATGAAAACTCATGTCAAAAAATCACGAAGTTTTTGTTTCCGCAGGAAGTAGCTCTGCACGTTGCACTGATTCGAATGACACCATACACGCATTTGTCAGGCATACCTAAGTATGCATATCGCCTATAGTAATATATCGCCTATAGTGATATTTTCACGAAAATCAAACACCAACGCTATAGCCGATCCGTACTGTACATAAATGGAACAAATTTTCACCCACTTGAAGTCGGATTATGCTGGAAACCCTGGCATGGAAACTGGGAAGTACTTGTCTTGTCTGGAATTATAACTTTCCATCGTCCATGTACCCATGAGTCTTAGTGTGTTGAACTGCTCTGGTGGTGGCACACACAAACAATGCTATCAATACCTTCGGAGATAACACACCACGTCAAACGTACAACGAACCAGCATAGTCGATGCCGGTAGTTGCGAACGGCCTCTCGTGAACAACTCGGTCTGTTGGCAGCGGCGGGCAGACTTCTGAGGCAGCCTTAGCCTTGTAGCGGCGGCATATAACACATCACTGAGTAATTTTGCGTAGCGCTCGTCGACCGCCGATAATCCAGAATTTCTGACGGATGTACAACAAGACCCCTTCTACACCTTGGTACATGCTTTCGACGTGCGTTTTCTCCAACAGCTACTCGGTCAGATGATGTTTACCTATTAGAACTGGGTGCTTGGCTCCATACGCCAACTCGCTGTAGTGGAGTCGTCCCCCGGCTCTGAGCTACCCATGCTCCTCCAGAGACGGTGCAAGATGATACACCTTCGACCCAGCCTTCAATGGTTGACCTTGCTTCATCAGCTCAAGGTCCTCAGCGAAACATTTGGCTTGAACGATGCAGTACAATACGTTGTCAGCTGCAAAATAGTTTAGCAAGAGGCTCAGTGTGCTTCCACTGCAACATTCGAGTCGCCATGCCCTGTGCCCACGACCACTTACTGAATCGGAGCCACCATTCATTATCAGTTTCTCGACTACAGGTGGTGGGTGACACTCGCACTTCTACACTGGACTCATCAGTACCAGCGGTTGAGGATGTGGTGGGCCAGTCATTGGGCTCCGTGATCCAGGTTGGCCCGCCCAACAAGAACAGACTACGGATCTGCTGTGCATTACTCCCACGTGACGGAAAATCTGCCGGGTTGTGAAGGCCCGGGCAATGGTTCCACACAAAGCCGACCTTCTTCGATATCTCTTGGTCTTAAAGGACGCGGTTCACCACAAATGTGTTCCATTTGTACGATGGATTACCGATCCAATAAACGGTAGTGAGACTGTCAGTCCAGCCATAGACTTGCGTGAAGGTCACACGCAGCTGCTTCACCACAAACTCCGCATAGCAAGCCGCTAGACATACTGCATGTAACTCAAGGCGGGCTAACGTCGGCGGAGACACCCTTGCCACTTTGGCCTTGGCAAATACCAAGTGTGACTGTCCATTGATGACTGCATACAAAGAGCATCGAAACGCTTTCTCACTGGCGTCCGCGAAGGCATGAAGCGCAATAGGCATGTCAAGATTTCAGCAAAACCAACGTGGTATGTCAAAGCCTACCACTTCAGCCAAGTCTCCCCGCCATTGCGCACATGCGGCTGCGATGCCATCAGGCAACTTATTATCCCAGTCGCCACCGAATTTCCAGGCTTGCTGTAGCAGCATCTTTACCGGCACAACTGTAGGTGCTGCTGGACCTAGCGGATCAAACACTGACGCAACACACTTAGGAGGGATCGCCGTGTTCAAACAGGTGGTCTATCGGACTCATCACTGGATTTCCATTTCAGACTGAGGACTTTCTCTCCAGCCTCTGGATCGCATTGGTAATTCGTCGCCTCACCACTTGCGGAACTCCATGCCAGCATCTGTAAGCACACGCACGCTGAACTCTTGCATCTTCTTGGCTTCCGGGGCATTTGAGACACGAGAGACCAAATCGTCAACGTAGAAACTCGTGTCACTTCGACCGGTCCACAGGAAACGCAGGTACGGACGGTCTTCGGGATAAACCACGACCATGAAGAAAGCCTTGCGGATGTCCACTTGCAGCGCGCTCTTATATTCACGGAACCTTAATTGCATACCCGCGAGACTTGGCAATAAGGACGTTTAGCAAAGCAAAAGTTCGAAAGAAAATTCGAGTCTGGGAATGAGTACAGAAACAAACTTCGAAACTTCCAAAACTTGGACGCGAAGTTGCAGTGGTTTGCGAAAGTTACTTTCTACTTCCTCAGTACGTGATGCACTCTCATTTATGGTAGAACTCCCGTAGATCTACCCCGTATGCGCGCGCCAGAGCTCATGCTTCCTTTTGTGTTCGTACACACTTTCCTTTTGTGTTTAGAATGAAGCTTTCATCGTCTCCCTGCCCGATATGAAATAAATTCTGCCGGACACCACATGGCACAGCAGTACAGTGAACAGAAGTGATCGTGACTGGTTGACGTTCAGTTTCCTTTCCTTTTCATACTTGTTTCTTCTTCGCAATGGCTGGCCAGTGGACCCTTGCGTCTTCATCCACCGCAGCACCGGTGCCTGCGATGACGACTACCCCACCAAGCCCCACATCGCCCTCAACACCGTCCCAAGTGAGGTTCGATCTCCAAATGGATTTGTGTATGCTACGCCAGCTCCGTGCACAGGACGCCCCAATCAAGTGTGGCTCCTCTGCGTTTGAGACTGTGGCGGCGGAGCTGCCAGCTCCCAGGAAATTTGGGTTGGTGTCGAAGAAAGCGGTTAGGGATCACGTGCTGAAGTGCATGGAGCAGCACACGAAGAAGGAGAACTGGGCAAAACGGCAGTAAGTTGTCAGGTGCCCTCCGTACATGTACCAGTAATGTATCACTAGTGAGGAAAACATTCATTGCAAAATCAAAAAAACAGTGATGTGGTTGATTTCAGTTTTGTACTTGTCTTTTACAAATTCCATTTTACTGAATTTTGACATGACTGCTGTCTGCAGATTCTGTATAACAGAATCCACGCAGCATCATAGTTCAGCATTAAACTGTGCATGTAAAACAAAATGTGTATGGCTACATCATGCTTATGCCCTGACCATATGTGTACAATGTGTTATTTTCCTTTCGTGCAGGTGTGGTTCAGCTGATGAGTTTGCAGAAAAGGAGACCCTCCTGAATGAACTGGTGGAGTTGCAGCGTGAAAAGGAGCAGGTCATGGACAAGGACAAGCAAGCTGCGAAACAGCAACGAGAGCAAGCTGCTCAGCTACGTGAGGATGCCTGCGTCACACTTGGGAAAAAATGTTATTACTATAAGACATCTTCGCTTCTCCATTGGCTGCTCTCCATTGCAACTTGATGCAGGGCGGTGGCAGAATAGTGGATGTATCAAATCTGTTCCCCTTATTATCCAGGTACTGAGAGGTGAAAACCATTATTGCTGGTGATCATATGGATGCTGGAAGTTTATCTTTGCAAGTGGTATTCCTGCCTGCAGACAACCTGTCACTGATTCCACTGTGTGAAAAGTGCCTGATCATAAACAGGAGACATTAAGTCAGTTCGTGAGAGATGATCATGAATCGAGATCCCTCCAACTTGGGGAAAACAGGTGGTAGGAAGTTATTGTACCATTCTACAGCCTTTGCTTGTCGTGGTTTCTTCTCCTCCTGGTCTTGTGTAGATAAATGCAGGACCAAGATACTCTTTTTTATAGCATTTGACTGCAGGCTTGGTATTACAACCGTCCACAACTACCAGTACCTGCTTCACTAGAAAAGTCGGGCACGCAATGCTGAGAGCTCATATGGATTTGTAACTGAGTCCTTGAGTATGGGTAATTCTAGTTTTTCTTCGAGCCTCCTGGCCTTGGCTGGCAGTAGCAAAGACAGTTCTTTGGACCGCTCTCCGCTTTCTGTTCATAGCCGCTCCTTCATCCTGGTGGAGACGCCATTGCCAGGGTCTGAGGCACAACGAGAAAACTCCTCTTCGTCTGTCTCCTCCATGATCCATGGCTCTCCAATATTTCTAAACAAGCATCTACTCCATGTAAATCATCGTTTCGAATTTGTGGAACATCTTTGGTTGTAGTGCCTCGGCTCATTTCAAGTCCAAACTCCATTACCATACATCTTGCACCGTCCAAAAACCGTTTAACATCCTAGGGCCCCATGGGTGCTGCCTTTGGCTTTTATCATGCGTCATATTTCTCTGACTCCGACTGTACGTACATGACTGTACATTTACCGGTACGTACCTGACAACATTGCTACTTACAGTGAACAAAGTTCTAAAAGTGTTACTTGTCCACAAAGTCATGTACGGCTACAGGTACATGGTAGAATGTGCTCCAACCGTAGATCTATGCATTTCAGACACGACGAGGGTTGCATCTCATGACTGCATATAGCAGATTGTTGAGAAAAAGAACAGGGATTTCAAAATAATTATCTACTATGCAATTTTTAATGCCGCTAAAACATCACACAATGCTCGTTTTGTTTGAATCTAATGCTCCATAATGCTCTGATGCTCGGATAGTCTCATAATGCCGAATATAATGCCGGCATTATCCGCTGGACCCTATGTACGTCCAGATGCATTCATGCCGCTTTCAGGGCGTCAAAGGCCGTACAAGTTGAGGGTGCCAAATGTGCACTATTGGCTGGATTTCACGGAGCGCAACTGAAGTTACCAGAACAAAAACATTCCGTTGAAGCTCTATTTGGCATATTATCATACGAATAACAATTGTAACATACCGCAGGATCTGCCGTCACCTGAAAACCCAGAGTTACACGTGCAGTTGTAGGACCTAGCCGTGTTGGTACACGCAGCATTGGAGTCGCAATTATGAATCTGATGTAGACATTCATCTCGCTCTAGACCACCAGCCAGGTTGAAACACGAGGAGTACATAAATGTAATGAGCCTCAGGCCGAGAAAAGGGTGATATTTGTATTTTTGGTTAAATTGAGTTAGACAGCATACCTAAAACTCAAAATCTCACTGATTCATATGCGGAAAACCGTGTTGAAAAATCTCGAAGTATTTAAAAGTAACGGGCACAGATGTGAAGGCAACTTTACAGAGCGAAGGTCTGTACCCTGCTTTCAAGTGCCCTTTTCTCAGTTGTGCGAGTGAGGCCAATAGCACCCTTTTCTTAGCCCGAGGCTCTAAAATGTACGAGGGACAAAACAAACTCACGTAATGGATATTGTTAACACTAATACACTGCCGGTAATGATTGATACTAATTCTAGGAAGTAATGAAATATGCTAAGCTGGCGTTTGAGTGCTTCTCGGTTCCATTGCTGTATTTGTTGTTGTCCCGTCCAGTGCTCGGATCCAGCGGATAATGCTCCGAAAATGGTTTGTATAGTTCTAGTCATAATGCTCCAAAAGCTACTCTAAAAATGATAATTTTTCATCCAGCACTTGCACCAAGAGTGAATAGCAACTGAATAGAGCGGTTGCCAGTTGACAAACCCCTTTTTTACGATGCAGTTGCGTGATGCCCACCACTTTCTGAGTGATTAATTATAATGCTGATTAAACGTAATCAAGTAGCGTGCTCAATTGTCCGAAGAGTGCTCAACACCCATATAGGGGCAGATGCACACACAAGAGGGAGAGAGACAGAGAGGTAGTGATGGGGAAGCTGTGTTTTGTCATTTCCAAAATCGGCCCGATTTTCTCGCCTAATCGGCTTCTTGATCGGCTAGGACAATGTCCAAATTCGGCCATACAATCAGCCCCGAAGTCAGAATTTGGCTAAAAGCGGTACTTGAACACTTGAAGTCACATCATACAGTATACTGAGTGTAGATTAGGGCTACAAGGAATATGTAAAAAGGCGACGTGGAGACAATAATCTTAAGAATGCATTGAATATAACTAAATGCGCACTCATATCACAACCATGGGGACGAATCATGTATTCCAGAACGTTTTCTTGTCACAATTATCAATGGAATTCGTGACTAAAGAGAATGATGAAACTACAATAGGATTTATACACTTGGAGTGGAACAGCGAGGATACAAGCATAGTAAGAAAAAAACACAAACCTGGACCTGGTGATCCAAACCTTTGTAAACAAAAAGAAAATGTCACCGTACTTACGCTATTCCAGTAAATTCGCACTCACACACACTTGCACATGCAAGTCCATTGTCACACTGCACTTGCTGAATTTCCTATCATTTCTCACCTCACCTATAGTTTATCACCTGTGCTATTTGTAGACCAAAAGGGAGAAAAACTACACATTGTCGAACCTCCAGCAAGGAATGCACATTGTCAAGTTGCCTCCGAAGCCGCCGCAACTTATCTCTCGCCAGCTCCGTCACCTCCTAGTATACTATGACACAATCCCTTCTCCTGTGGCTCCTCTCCCTGGAAACCTTGAAGCAAGCAGGGCTGTAGCAGGATAGTGGGTGTATCTTATCTTCCCTTCGTTATCCTGGTAGTGAGAGGTGAAAACCATTATTGCCTTCATTCGAAACAGTAGGAATTGGGGCAGTTCCTGAGACCAGATCGCCGATCAAGATCCTCCCATCTACGGAAAGCCTAGTAACTCGTGGTGAGAAGGGTTTTTTTTCGCCGCTTTCCATTCTTTGTTGTCTTCTTCTCCTTTTGGTGTTGTGTTGATAAATGGGTGACCAGAATATTCTTTTTTTGACCCCTTATCTTTTTTTGCCATAGTTAAATTGGCTCACTATCCGAGTTCAGAATTAGTCGTGTGCACAGGTAGTCGGGTATCCATGCTACCCGTGAGGACCTCGGGTAGACTGGTACAGAATAACAGAATAGTACCCGGAAACTTGAAGTCGCAGATGACATCATGTACAGTGCACATGTGCAAATTCATGTAGTAATCCGCACGTCTACCCAGTATGTAAGGGAAAGGGTGCATTGCGGTGTTACCATGGAAACATTACCCGGTCTGCTACTCGTGCAAAACTACCCGAACCCGATACCCGAAGAAAATGACTTCCTTATAACCATGTGTAATTCTAGTTGAGGCACAACAAAAACCACCTCTTTGTCTGCTTGATAATCACTTCACGAACGTTTCTTTGATCCTCTATGCACGGCTGTTTCGAGTGCGACATTTATCAATATGGCGGTGTACCGTAGCAACCCGCATCGCAACAGCTTGCGTACGCACAGCGTGCCGACGCTCGCAGTCTTTCTGCACATTTTTCCAATTTATCGAAGAAAGTTTTTGTTTTTGGGGCGATGGATTCGTGCCTTGGAGGGGTCGTATGAGGCCATGCTGGAGGAGAATAAGTCTACCAAGACCTGGAAGCCTCCCTTCGGCGAAGTACTGAAGTTAGCATGTCCTGGAATCAATACAGGAATTGTTTTCAAGACGATGCAGTGTGATAAATTCTAGTAATGTAGTGCATCATGGAATTCGGTGTGTTTGAAACTTCGGAGCAAGAAGGGGGCACGTTTGCTTGACTCACTACTATCATGACGTGAACAGATGGAACCCCACTGCTCTTATTCTAGAACATGTTCTCCCCTGAGGACAGCTTACAGGCAGATTTCCGTCCATAAGAAAAGAGCACAAATAAATCGTTAGACTGATTGCAATTCATCTTGGAGAAGGAGAAGGATAGAATTCGATCATCTGCTACTCTCTCAACACAAAGTTGATGACATAGCAGCTACATGTACGTGTCTTCATGCGTGTGCTCTTCACCTTGGGGATCAATGTGAGGATTTTAGGATTGCTGGAAATCAGATTCTGTATACTATTGGACAGCAGTTTCTGCATTGCACATGCTCCACAGTGCTCATCGGCAAGGATGTTGAATTTGCGTGTAACCCTTCACCACCCTGCTCTCCATACTATTCCAGATCGGCACTAACTGAACATTGAAGTGTTTCATTTCAGTAGAATGTGCTCCTCCAATAAGTGCGGCATTGGAGGCGGCAAGAGTCCATAACCCCCCAGAGTGTGCAACTCCAGGTTGGGGTCTGGCGCAACGAAATCCAAACATTGCGTCATCCGGTCCCCGGGCAAGCATGGGCGGATGGGGCCATATCCCCATGTGCATATCTGGTACATCCGGCGGGGGTTCCAAGTTAGTTGAAGGTTGCTTTGATTCTGTTTGAATCAAGCCACGGAAGTGTCACGTAAAACGTTTGCTGCACGGGCTATGCAGTGTCAGCAGAACGGCTTTGATTTCACAGTCACAGAATTTTTTATTTGAAGAGAGTTTCTCTGCTCGTTGTCTGAAAAGCTTGTATTGGGAGAGTTCGTGACTCCGGGATAGCAAGAATAGGCATGGATATAGATTTACAAGATTTGATGGAAATAGCTCTTGGCACACGGCATGAAGACCCGATCGATTTCGAAGTAGATGTGCTTCAACCTGCAGTGAATGTTTCTGCTGGGTTCACAACCAGACGGTTCAAATTGACGGGTGTTCCATTGCATGTGAGAAGCACAGACTTCGAGCAATAAATCTCTATCCAGGTGCTGGAAGAATTAACAATTTCCAACACTCGACAATCGAGAGAAGAAAATGAGGAGCCCAGATCGAACAAAAACTGACGAATATCGTCCACAGAGACACTGCACTCCGGCGACAATGGGGAGCGCTTTGCTTTAGGTTCAACAGTGGCCATTGTTCTTCACTTATCGGAGAGACACTCAAAAGAGAAAACTGTTCGACAACTCCAAAATAATTTTTTGTGTACTTGAGCCTTTCCAGGCGTGTTACGTACAATACCTGACCGTGGATTCGTAAAGAAAGACCCCAAATTGGGCAAACGGGCGAAGTAGGTCCGGGCCAAACTTCCCATTTCGTCATAGCTACTCACTACATGACGTATGAAGTTTGGATTTCGTTGCGGCACTGATTTGTGCTGAGAAGGATCACGAGTTGCACACTCTGGGGGGTTATGGACTCTTGGAGGCGGTGATATTTATTGCCACAGTTGCACTGCTGATATTCGTCATGAAAGAAGCAATGGAAGATGGTCAGGTCAACCAGTGGGCTTGCAGTGATAAGCAAAGCACCACAACACATCATCAAGTGTCATAGCACGGCGGAGTTGGTTGCCCGCAACGCTTCCATGTTGGTGTTGTTGGTGTACAAATAGAGGATATCTTCCAGTCTCTAACTTTTAAAGCACATGGACCTGCTATAGGTGCTATTCTATCAATGCTTGTTTCAAGTTACAGAATTATTTAGCTTCTTACAGCTTTGATTTAATTCACCGTATTGTAATTAATGTGAAGAAGAGGTTGATGCGACTTCGGCGATACTTGGGGAATTAGTGAGGTTCTGCCACACGGTAAAACGTGCCAAAGTACGTATGGAAACTTCACCGCGGTATTTAGTTTGATACGGATTTTGTCATACCGTTTTCCGTGTGAAGCGCGCTTCACACGGACCGGACTCCGTGTGAAAAGTGAGCGTACAGAGTAGATCTACATGTGGCGGGGTGTTCGTGCATGGTTCGAGCATGCTACGTACAGCAGAACCGGTGCAACGTACGAAAAATCCGTGTCAAAGTTCACTGCAGTTGACACGGAGTTTGGTACGTAGTTCCGTGTAGCAGAACCTATCTATTGTGTGTTGCTCCCTACGTGGGAGCTTGCGCTATTCCTGCCGACTTGAATTCTCACTTGACCGACTTGTTATTTTAAAATGAATTCATGGACATCTGTCAATTCAGCAGGTGAACTGCATTGACATCAAGCCCTGAGCCAGCTCCATAGGAATGGCACGGTCATGAAGATGCGTGATGCTGTGTATCGTATTCGCATCAGAATAATAACCTGTTTGTTTTGGCTACACACTCCGGTAGCAACAGATACTCTGCATAATGCAGCTTGTACAGTAGTCCTCACTAAAGAAGAAAGCAGTTTAGGAGGGACTCTAGTGAGGAGTGTACGAGGATAGCCTATTAGTGTTCTACATAATCATTTGCATATTGAACATGTTACATGTAATTATCATGAATGCTGAGAGTGGTAAAACCGGGTACGGCCATCACCAGCGGCTGCGGCCCTGTCCTGAGTGCCAATGCTGTGCTTAGTGCTGATGTAGTGCAAGATATATAAGCTGCATCACGGTTGCCGTTTGTTGTTGTTCAATTACTTGAAGTATTTCAATATGGTCTTTACGCATGCCTTTACGCATGCAAGTGTGTGCTTTTCAGCAGGATCATCGAAAGACTACATTATGCGTGGCCTAAATCTGCAGTAACACTAGTAATACAAAAACCCATGCCTATGTGTCTACACGTAAGGCCTCAGACAGATGGGGAATCTTGCGTCTCTAACGTTTTAAAACATCTCTACACAATGTCCTGTTTCTACATACATTTCGAAAGCATGAATTTCAAAAAATGTTGATTGGATGCATGTCTGATTTGTACTTGCTGACATCCAGAACGAATGCCCGTATCCCTCCTATAGCGGACGAAACCGGGGTATTCGTTAGGCATTGAGGCAGAAGAACACACCTCCACTCGTCCTGCAAACACTTGCAATTGACGTCCAAGTACGCCACGCAAATCAACTTGGGCACGAAAACGATAATCTGGGCGGCAATGAAAATATAACTACGACGTAGGAAAAGGACAAACCTTTCAATGAAAATTGGCGTGAAGGCTGCCAACAATTCTGCACCCCATAGGAGGAAGCCTCGAATGTGAGCCAATTCTGATAAACGCCAATGGCCGGCACGACGAGGGAGAACGAAACGAAAAAGATCATAACTTCACTTTCCCATTGCGCATTTTGACGATCAAAATATCTGCTTGCGCAGCTTGAAGGCAGGAAGGTGAATTTGCTTAGACTTCGCGAATCCAGTGTAGAAAACGGCTGGAATGGACCGAAACATAGGCGAAACCTTGCCGAATATTTCCAGAGATTTAATAAAGGCAGCAAGGTCGCGTATGACACCATCATGGATCACTGGGGCGACGGGAAAATGTTGTACCGTACATAATGTCGCTGGATTATGCATGCATAACAACCGTGTATGGCTAATCTCCACATGATTTCTCGCAAAATCCCAAAACACGTCTGCACCTCGGATTTGTGTAGCAGCTTTGGTTCGGCATGCTGCATTAGTCTTGTACATTTACCTGACTAAAGTTGCTACACATTGAAGTGCTAAAGGTGTTGCATGTCTACTACACACAAAATTATGTACCGGTACAATTCGTTTTAGCTAAACTGTTACACAAATCCATGGAAACCAAGGAGCCGTGCGCGAATTAAACAGACAAAGGTGAGCATTCTCGCTGTGCCCCAGGGTCTGGCGATAGTGTCAATGGCGATACTAAAGTAGACACTGATTCATTGATGAAATTGGACGAGGTTTTAGGAGAAACTATGAACAGAAACAGCTAGTTACACATATCTTCAATTATTGAGTCCAATCCAGCGGGCTCAAAAAGAACTAGATCCTTCATAGCATAAAAACGTCGCTCCTGGACTCACACGTCTCTGGATGAGAATTGTCAGATGACATATGACGCAGGTACCTTGCATTTATATTGTGGAGCTTCTGCTTACATAACTGCTTGATGTTCTTTCTCTTCTTCTTGTTAGGTACCTCCGCCCGTGGTACGTCATTCTCACCTACGTCATTCTCACATGTCGTTCCATTGGCCTGGGTAGCTACTTGCGCACCCGTGTTTGCCATAGCTACCCAGGCCCTATATATTGCGTCAACTCTCTTCAGATCTCTCTCTCTCAACTCTCTTCAAAATATCTCTCTCTCTTTCATAATGTAGTCATTTAGTTCCTCTTTCTCTCCGTCTCTCCGTCTATGATAAATGTCCCAAGTTGTTCCTTTGTGTCTGGGATGGTGACTCCTTGTGTGCCTCAACATTATCATTACGTCCTATATTTTTTAACATATGACCTCAGATGGTGAGCCAAGGAATATTTGTGTCACATGGAAATTGTGGGTACAAGTTATGCGATCGAGGCCACCAACTAATCCGTCGGTTAGCCCTATTGTGCAGTGTTCAAGCTGACTTTCATGCCATGTCCCAGTACTCCCTGTCAGTTTTGTGCTAGATTGTGTTCGTCTGACTGTTCAAAATCTTGTTTAGTTGGGCAACTTGATCGCATAACTTGTGCACACAATTTCCATGCTACACATTTTACGATAATACATTTACAATGGAACGTGTTTTACATAATTATCGTAATTTCGCGTACAAACGCCGGGCTTATTCCTGTAGAAGCCGATGTCAGAGTTTGGCTTCTATTCAAATCAGACTTCTATTCAAAATTATTATTTCTACGTATGTCAACACTAAAACAAGGCTGATGTGTCGATCATAATAATTATTGTCTTCAAAATCACGTTCGTGTTCAATTCAAACCAGGCTTATGAGGCAGGCTTTTACACACGACAAAACGATTTCCCGAAAAGAAAGGCAAATCCAGGAATTGTGCCCTGATGACCCTGGAAAAGCACTGTCAGCACTTTGCTGGCATGGTCTGAGTGGAGTACGTACAAGTCGAATACCACTACTCACCTAGGCAATTGTAGTTGTACAGATAACCGGTACACAAATCGCATTTGTCCAGGTCGGAAATGATGCTACAGTTTTGCCGGCATTTGGCCTCAGTCAAACCTATGTGAAAGAAGACAAAACCATCAGTTGTTATCTCGTTTGGGTGAAACTCAATTCTCTGTTCTTTCTCGTGCTAGTTATGTAAGGCAGTTGAATGTTCTAGAAGCTGCTCGAATCTGTTTATATAAGCCTGATCTTTTAAACAGAAGAAGCCAGTTGTTGATCTGAAGTTGTTTTCGTAGGTCTGCAGATCACTCATCAACATCATATCACTTGGAATAACTGATAGTTTTGGAATTTCGGAACCCCGACACAACACACTTTCTAGTTCTTCAAAAACAGTTCTAAGTTTTAAAATTCATTATCTAACCGGTTTCTGCTCTGTAGAGCTTCATCAGAGATATGAATGTGAATAAAATTAGAACTGTGGTTTTGTACCAGTAACAAAGCAAAAATGAAACTATGCAATGCAGTTGATACAATGTAAACTTTGTACAAGTGCAGCTGAGTCATAATGAATTTCAAAACTGAGAACAGTTTTTGAAGAACTAGAAAGTGTGTTGTGTCGCGGTTCCGAAATTCCAAAAAATATGTTTTACATGTTCATGATGTAGATCAGGTTGCAACTATACTAGGAACAAAAGGGGGGAGGTTTTGTCTGACTAAGACTTTACGGTCTTTCAAAAACAACATTGGTTTGCTGGTTGTGTTTTTATTTGAATTCGCAAAACCTAACGGACTGACATGTCCGATGACAAGGAAGTGAATGAGGTACAAGGAACCCAGACATGGAAAAACGTGGAAAGAGAAACAGATGAAAAGAAAATATGCAAAAAAAAGGAGAAAAAAGGAAAGGTAAATCGTGTTCACGGCTCTTAGCAAAGGAAAAAGGAAAGGAGAAAGGAGAAACGAGAAGATAAATCGTGGTCACAGCCAAAGCCCAAGTAGTGGCAGGACACAATATACACGTACCTGGGCTTACATACTAAAACAACAGGAACAAGCATGCATGAAGCGTGGGCCATGCCGCGCAGAAGCGGGAGACACCAACAGGAAGAGAGAAGAGAAGAGAGAGAAGTCGAAGCCACACACACGCACGCACGCACGCACGCACGCACGCACGCGCGCGCACACACACACACACACACACACACACACACACACACACACACACACACACACACACACACACACACACACATGCATACATACATACATACATACATACATACATACATACATACATACATACATACATACATACATACATACACACTTACCCACACACATACACACACATACACACACATACACACGCGCCCACACACACACACAAATTCACACACATTCATGCACATCCTCACACTCAGACATATTCGCACACGAGCACACACACACACAAACACACACATGTACACTGACAGCCACACATACAATTGCTTTTTTTTGTACTCAGTTCATAGTAGAAACGGGATAGCTGCCCCACAGAACTGAAAAGGAATGGAGATGGAGCGAATACTGTTATTTTTGTAGGCAGGTTGTTCTAGCATAGCGCACCCTAACATGACCGATCCCCTTTCACGCAGCTCGCATCTTTTACGTGATTAGGAAATAGGCGAAACATCCCCTTCTTCTAGTGTATATGTGAATGCTATAGAACGTAAATTGGAGATGAAACCAACCATAGCGATGCACGAGTGTGACAGAGGTCTTGCTCCCAGAGACTGAAAACTCGCACCATGACCATCTGCGCGACCACTACTGAATGAATGAAACATGGGGCTACGAACATAGCCAAGTGGCGGTCTATTACAGAAAGTTTAAGTTCTGTTTGGTGTATATTCTCTTATACCTCTCTCCATATACACCCGCACTCATATACCAGATCTCCCATGAAGTTTATAAATTTCCATATACACTGTTCAATATACACCACTAATGAGGTATATACACCACTCAGGAGGTATATACACCACTGAGGAAAACCATCAGAAAAAAACTCACTGAGGAGCTTTCTTTCTCTAAAAAGGAGTGTATATAGCTTTCTTTCTCTAAAACTATATTCACTCCTTTTTAGAGAAAGAAAGCTATATTCGCTCCTTTTTAGGGAAAGAAAGCTATATTCACTCCTTTTTGCTCTTGTCAGTCTTGAGCTTGCGCATGGAGAGGTATAAATATATTATAACAAGGGACCTCGTGTATATCGAGAAATATCGACCAGTTATTAAAACCTCGGCTTCGCCTCGCTTTTTATACTGGTCTATATTTCTCGATATACACTCGGTCCCTTGTTATAATATATACATACAATCATAGAGATCTGATAAAGAGAATTCAAAGTTTACCTCGGCGTTGGAAATAGTCACGATGCTAATGAAGATTGCATTGCAGGGGTGGGCGCAGTCGGACTGTAGATCTGCTGAGGAATGTGTAGAACTCTGCCGAATCGCAGAGCTGGACAAACAAAAGTTGCTATTGTTCACCGGGCGATGCATCCACGGCTTTGCGGGGAGCCTGCTCAGTTACGCACTGATTTTAAAGTCACCAGGTTGGCGGTACCCACTTGTAGAAGAACATCGAAGCGCATCTGCCACCCGCTGCAAGCGGGGCTGGTCAGACTAGGTTCTCTGTTGCCACTACCCAGCGATATTCGTACCATCCCAAAACGCAGTGTTTTCAAGAGGTCAGTCATCTCCATACACTTGCTCCATGAAACGTATCAGCCATTATTCCATTAATTTTGTTGTCATCATTGCCACACCCGCACGACCACGCCTCCTACACACAGTCACTTTTGCTGTCACATCCACTCATAGTCTAGTTAGTCCACGTCCACTGATGTTGACGGAGGCAGCTCTCTTGCTACGGTGCTGCTGTGTGATAGTTGCATGGATCCAGCTAATGCCTCTGCTTCGGTCAGGGAAATCAGAATAGGAAAACGGCTGTACCACCCCGCTCTTTTCTTTTTCATTTTTTCGCCTATAATTCATTATCTTTAGCCCTTAATTTCAATTATAATTGTTTTCTTATCCTTCGATTTCTTGTTATTGCCCGTTAGAATTTGAGAAGTAAACTAAACAACAACAAAAACAAAAACAACAACAATAACAACAACAACAACAACAACAACAACAACAACAACAACAACAACAACAACAACTGCTGAACTGGAAAGAAGCATTAAAACCGCTAGAGCCGAAGGTGACGACCTCCTACTACTTGGAGACTTCAATGCCAAGAACAGTGCGTGGCTCACCACAGACAGAACAAATTGCCTTGGGGACGACATACAAACTCTTCTGCACACATACGGCCTCACACAACATGTCAGATTCCCTACTTACATCCGCCGACAAACACCTCTCTCATGTCTAAACCTTGCTATCTCCTCACTCCACTGCAATGATGTTCATATCTAATCACTTCCACCGTTTGGCGCATCCGATCACACTACTATCAGTGGCCACATCAATAATCAACTGCCCCCCCCCCCCCCCATAATTAACAACTCCCCTCCACGAGCCAGAAGCACCACATTCTGGTCATGGACAGACAGCACTATCCACCTTCTTCGAGAAGCCCTTTCATGCACAAATCTCAACCACCATCCAAACCAACACGACCCATGCCCAGTTGACACCTTCTGGCGATCCTGGCGCGACAAAGTCCTGAGCATCGCCCAAGAACACTGCCAAGTTACTCGCACTCACCCCCCCCCCCCCTTGGGACAGGAAGAACGTGCCAGCACGACCATGGATATCAAATGGCCTCTTGAAAGAGATCAAGGATAAGCGCAGAAAACACAGAATATACCTTCACTCACGCTCGCCCGACGACTGGAACACGTTCACTGCCCAAAGAAACCGTGTCACCACTCTCCTGCGTCATGCAAAATCGGAATTCGTAAACAACTCAACAGCCTCCTCTACTTCCCTACACCGCCTCATGAAGCACCTAACTACAGCTACAAAACAACGCATACCCGAACTTGTCAGCCAAGCAACTTCTGCAACGACACCAGCACAAAAAGCCGCTGCCCTCAACGAATTTCGTTATTTTACAGAGCAAGCTGTCCGTGGCCAATGCGGATGAGCAAACTCCAGCCATCAACACCACCCCTGACATCCTCAGTCCCCTTCAAGAAATCTTGACTTCCCAAGCTGAGGTCGAAAAACTCCTCTGCGGAGTTGATACCAACAAAGCCCCGGGTTCAACTCTATTCCAAACCGCTTACTCAAAGAAGCGCCTAAGGAACTTGCACCGTCGCTATCCTCCCCCTTTAATCTTTCATTCCAAACCGGAGAAATCCCACAGGAGTGGAAAGATGCCACCATTACTCCAGTACCCAAGCCTGGTGACCCAACCCAACCAACAAACTAGAGACCGATCTCTCTCTTGAGCACTACATCAAAAATCCAAGAAAAAATTGCACATCAACTCCTCTACAAGCACATCACACTCCACCTACACAACCAGCAGTCCGTATTCTGTGAGAAGGACGGCACTGAGCAGCAGCTTGCCAGTCTCGTCCATACACTCTCCACGACGGGAAACACGTCAATGCCTGCTTTTTTGATCTAAGCAAGGCCTTCGATCGTGTGTGGCATGCAGGCCTTCTAGCAAAACTCTCCCACTATGGTGTCCAGGGCACCGCCCTGGAGTGGTTCCGACTGTACCTGTTGGGCGTCGGCAGAGTATCCAGGTGGATGGCGACCTATCGCCTTTCCTCGAGATCCCTGCCGGCGTCCCTCAGGGATCTGTTCTTGGCCCGCTTCTATTCCTCGTCTACACCATAGACCTTCCACACGCATGTGAGAATCCCGGCACCACCTGTTGCCAATTTGCAGATGACACCGCTCTGATTTCCATAGCGAGAACTCTTCAAGACTGAACGCGAAACTTACAACAGAGTGTCACAGCAGCTGGAGACTGGCTTCAAAGATGGCACCTGCTGGTTAACACAAAGAAAACAGTCATCCTCCCGTTCTACCACAATAACAGCCCCCCTGAACAGCTACCCCAGATCACCCTCACATCTATCAGACATACATACTACCTAT